AATCAAGCAAGGGTGAGCCTCATGTGAAGTATGAATGTGTGGTGTTTGTATGTACTTTTGGAAGCAAAATTAGGAAGCAATAGGAAATCCCTAAATGATTGTTAATGCCTAGTGTATTAGATCCAAACGCACGAACTAGGACTGCCAGTAGTAAACGCGGTGTTAACAACCATTTTATTTGTTTCAAAAGGATTTGAAAAGCGGCTAACGTACGATGATCTGGTGAGGGTTCGGTAAGAATTTCACTAGCAAGAATAACGTTTCGAATTTACAACCGTCTGAGAAGCTGATTATTAATCGGGGTGAAAAAATTGGCTGGTTACAAATTGCTTGTTTCAGTTCAAATAATGAAATTCCTATTTTTCGGATGCTTGTGATTTCTCCGTGGTTATAAACACGGTTGCCCATGATTTATAAGAAAACTTTAAATAAATTTTCTTTGAACCAGTGGTCTTCTTTTTCTTGGCGAAGCATCTATTGAGACGATTAGGTAGCAAAGTAGAATGTTTTGTGATTGAGAATCGTAGTCGTTGAGTTTCGGATTTATATCGCGCATCTAATTGCTATAACCCTATGAGTAAAGCTTTTTCCTCATGGTGCATTATGATGTCTAGAAACCATAAGCACACTGCCTTCAATAAATTTGTTTTTACTTTTTAAATGACAGCAAATAGTGAGTCATTTGAGGCGATAGGGTGAATACCTCTAAAGGCTTTCGTGAAGAGATTAGGATATGTTTATTTTCACGACTAGGAGAAGGTCTTTTTACCCAGAAAGCTCTCAGGATGTCCGCTTTTACTTTGTAATTCAAAGATAACGTTGAGTTGCTCAATTCGGTAGTAGCAAGGGGGTAGCTTTAGGTAATGCGTCATAGAAGTAAGCAGTGTATGTCTAAATATGTTAAACGTTGTAAAGCCGGTCAAATCGTAGTTCTCAAATATGAGTTAGTTTTTTAAATAATGAGTGTACCGTGCTAGCGTTTGTGCTTGAAACGTCTCAGTCTCACAATACTATAGTAAATCTCCATCCCTCTAACTAAGCTTAACATGCATTGAACCGAATTCACTTATTACAAAAGCACATAGTATAGCGACGCACTGAAAAAGTCTAGAGGAAGTAGAATTGAAGAGTATATTAAACATTTCATTAATTTACAAAAGAAAATCCCGATGAAGAGTATTAACGTTAGTTTGTCCGGATGATATTTCCGCTGGTTTCATATTCGACAACTTCCGTATACCTGAAAAAAATAAAGCACATGTAAGGACTAGCACAACATGAAGTTATGAAAGATAATTCTACATATTAGCACACACTGAATACACTGATTCGGTTAATACTACGTAATATCTCATGCAAATAAATGTATATGTAGTTTTCAGCTGGTTTTTATATTGGCACTATAAGCATCAATAGACCTCAAATGTTTTCCAGTATTAAAGGATTACACGCAAATATCAAGACAATCTTTGAAGCTGCCATACTGTTGAGCCGTCATACTCTCATTAACCTTAGTTGCAGATCAACTTCACACTGAATACGTTTACATTAAATGAAGTATTGCAAATGTGTAACTTAGAAATTGATCCATAATCTCAGTAATGTCTAATGAGCATAGTTTTATGAATCCTACAGAAATTACATTCTCATATTTAGGAATCTATAGCCATCAAGTATAAGCTGAACATGCTTCAACTCTAAGCAACTATGCACAGTGTTAGCAGCATAGAGAAACACTTAAAATATTGTAAGATACGCAGACCTGTTGCGTCGATGAGGATAACAATGACATATAATGCAACCTAGACATTCGATCGTGACACTGCATCTTTACTGCTTCATGTTAATGGAAAATTCAGGAAAAATTCATCACCACGACTGGTGATCAAAAGCAGTGCAGCATTAAGTTTACAGTGCCAGTGAGAATGGCATAACAGACAGTAGATTGACAGTAATAGAGCTGACTAGATTCAGTTCTCATAATCGACACAATCCATGTGTATAATAATACTATACACTGAATTAATGCACTAAGCGACACAGTAAGGAATTTAAACGAGTGATTGCCTTCTCCTCGGCACTGCACTTGCAATAATCATGACAACCACCTACGTTTGCTAGCCAAGCAGTCAGCTAAGGAGACAATGGCACAATATAAATAAAGTTGAGGTATTTTTTATACATTGAGTCCACGTAACTCACATTACACTACACTAAACAGTGCAAATATACATGAAATCCACTTAGAAATAACCTCTCAACTTACGATAATTCCTGTCCAAACACACACGGTGAGACACATCTACATGATTACTTCTATTCCCACAGAAGGTTCTGTTAGCATTTACAGGTGATTTCGAAGTACTGATAGAATTCTTTTGTCAAAAAGGACTGTTCTTCACACGTAAATAGGCTGAATTAATATCCTGAGACGTGAAGTCTCCATTGAATGATACCATGACGAAAGGTGCAGCATCTAAATAAAGTAGATTATTTGTGTAGGTGAAATTACCCTTCAACTATCCTATCTTTCTCACTATAGCGATATTTTGCTACAGTTCGCCTGAAACACTGATCGTTGCAACCAATATGCTAGGGGGTGTCGCAGTCAGATTACATGACGCGGACACCAAAATAACAGGCAAGAAAATGGGAATTCTCATCAATCCAGATAACATATAACGCAATTTCATTAAAAATTATTGACAGAAAAAAATTTCCAAGGGAAATTTTAACAGCGCTACTAGAACATGGCATTTAACGTCTACCGTCAACGCATTGACCTGAAAATAAACTGAATATTGAAGTTATTTGGAGGTAGGTACAAAATAGGCGTTACTGCTGCTTGCACTTAGTAAATTAATTGGTTTTCTAGGATTTTATTATAGCTTCATCCATATCAGTATTTCGGCACAGGTATTGAATTTTCAGTGTGTGATATCGGTGGCCCAAATTTATCAGGCAGACTATTGATATCAGGTGTGCATCGGCCAGGGATCGAACCCCGGACCATGTGCATGGTCGACGTCCTGTGTGAATGGTATTTCATTCTGCTTAACATGGTTTGTAGAACTTTTGTTGCACAACCACTGGAGATAAAAAATTTAATAAAGACGAGTGAAACGTTCACAAGTTAAATTGGCTGTGAAGATTAATAGCAATCGCCGAGCTTAAACTCATTGTTTGGTTCAAGTTAAAATATGGGTGCTATTAGATGAGTAATCCTGTTGCGGATTACTGCAACAGCTTTGCCATAGTGTGTAAAAATTCCACAAAACGCTGGGATATATATGTCTAGACCAAGTTCACGTTTAACGGTTTGGAAAAATTTGGTCATAGGATGTATGATATTCATTATAATAAGGGTTTTTGTTTTTCACTTATTGGGAAATACAAAATTTTTTTATTATAATGAAGCCTGGGATGTTCCAAAATGTCTACATTGTTACATAACCAGTGGCAGTCAAGATGTGCTTATAAGAAGCAAAGGAGTCTTCCAGGTGATATCTGACACACCAGTTTACGCAAAAAGCATGTGTTACGAAGGGCTACTAACCACTTCTAGAATTCTGTTGTGTAAAATGGGGAGAAGGTGACTAAAATGGACGATATTGATTGCATGAGTTGTGGGAATAAGTAGGTAATGTGCAACATTAAATACCCGCTTGCTTCACTTTTACCAATTTCTTTCACGATGATTCCCACCTTTCTTATCTTCCCCACACTTTTAACTGACGATTCGCCAATTTTCCTCCATGTTACTCATGTGAATAAATGGGCTAAGTACTTACAAAAATACCCTACGTTTGGACTGAATGTGACACACGGGTTTACGTACTTTGCGCGTGTTAGCGAGGAATTTCTCTAACTGTGCTGTTGTTACAAAAATCATCAACTTACCTGTGCACAGCTTGTCTGTTTATAGACTAGGATTTATTTTGGTTGTCCTTCTATATGGTCCCTGGTCGTTTTCTACTCATAAAAATGCAATATTTCCAAACACGTCCTTTCAACCGTCAGGTGACTTTACTGGTCAGGTTCTTCACGTTTTATTAGTGCTGTTTCAAATGTTTTAGAGATGAAAACTCGGAAAAAGTCAAATTATATCAGACATCTCGATCCTCCGTGACACCCCTTGAGCAACTAATCACAAGTGAGGAGCGGAACTTTTAAAGAAATGGTCACAGATCATAGCGTTCTGAGATCTGTTTATATCTCTGATTCTGTTCTTTAGTCCATGGCGAACTCCCGGTTCTGGAAGACTGGTTATCCTGTCAAGTCCTCCAACCCTTCCCGTATAAGTATGTTTTAGTGACTCAAATTAATCAGTTCACACAGTAATAAACCAATCGGTGTTTCACGTGCTGCTTAGGCGAATCGAGAAAACAAGCCATACTTTTATTTGGTCATAGTGTGGTGGTGTGATACAAACAATGGGTTCCAACGGAATATTATTCTCACATTCAATAGTGCATTAACAACAGAATAATATATGTATTTGAACATTGTATATCATGTCTTTTAGTGTAAATCAAAATCACACGCCTAGTGATTGGTTAAAGAACATAAACTGATATAACTAGCTGTTTGATCACTTGAAAATATACCTTGGCTTCCGTGTCTTGCCTTCTGCTGTTACAATAGGACATGTAACTGTACGCAGTTATCCTGGGTCATGTACCGGAGTGGCTGTTACATAGTTTGACTTCACCCATATCCAAGCTAAATTGATGTTAGCATGAATAGTGAAATGATAAATTATTGACCTAACCACTTGATATTTACCTCTTTGACATTACCCAGCTGGCATAAATGTCAGGTCAAACACCAGAAACATCGGGGTATAAATTGCCTGAACTTGATTGTTCCATTTTAGGACACTTTCTGCAGTGTGCACAACGAGTGTCCTAACTTTTTTGCATTGCAGCTGATTGGCGCTTTATTTCTTCTACTTAAATATCTACATTTATATTGAAGTATTGTTACTATTTACAGGAATAATGTCTGAAGAGACACGATATATCAGCAAGCCTGTTACTACTCTGGCAGAACTAATCGATTGGAGTTTCCCAGTCTCATCAATTCTTACATTACCCTTGTGTCATTGTGATGGTGTCTGGGACGGTAAGCTTCTTCTTCCTTTCGAAGTCAACAAAAGTTATTATTCAGACAATGGGTATCATAGTAATTCGTCGGAATTACCAAAAGTTATCTATTGTCATGATATGGCTGGCGGTTATCTTGCCTCTGATCGTACGGATGACTTTACTCATGTTTTCCCGGCATTTCGTTTCATACATTGGCATCTAATTGATATATTTATATACTTTAGTCATCAATTTATTACGATCCCACCAATTTCATGGATTAATCTTGCTCACAGGTAGGCGGCTTTTTCTTTTAAAAAGATTTTCTGTTGATATTTATTCGGAATAAGATACATGATAATAGTAAGCAGATTAGGAATTTACACAGTTACATCATCTCAGTTTATCACACCTGACGAAGGGAATTAAAATTAAGGAATAGAAGCAGACTGGTACTGTGATGAGTAAAAATGAGTGGCATGAGAAGTGGGTTTGATCGAAGCTCCCGGAGAACTAGAGGCTAGCAAGAGTTGGGTAATTCTCCACTAAATCAGTCAATCTCCAGTCATTAGTTTTCAATGCCACAAGATAATCCATACCTCTGTTTGTATGAGATCGATAGCTAGTGACTTCTTAATTGATTCATGCCGTTTTTGGTGTAATCACTAACTCAAACCTTTTACAACTCAATCCTATCCGATTGACATGGTAGTTTAGTACTGGTAGTATATATTCAGACTAGCTCAATTAGTGAAACCTTCCTAATGTAGCCTTACAACGAGTAACTCCATCCCTACTAACCATATTGTTCCATGAGAGAAAAAACGACCACACATTTTGTCAAAACCCGTAATCCCTACATATTCTTAACTGTGTGAAGATATGCAACTAGGATAAAGAAAGCTAGTGGTCAAGCATCGTATTTGATTTAGGTATATGCAAGTCACTCACGCCGTAGATACTTCCGGCAGTCAACCAGCTTACTAGAAGCTTTCTCATGAAATTACCAAAGATTTACACATTTGAGTATTATGTAACACTGACATGCAGTATGAAGTACTTTTCCTGAAAATTAGTGCACATTTTTTGTAGTACATTATTGAAATGAAACGACTCCTGATGGGTTCGTGGGTGCATTCTGTTGAAGAGTGCGATTCAACTCAAAGAGCCGAATCTGAGTCAAACACTGGGTACACCTCTAACTGAGGAATTCGGCGCCAAACAAGCTAATTCCGACTGTCGGTGGTGTTAAGATCACTTCAATAATGTGGCTACCTAGCAAGCACTATACTGGTTGATATGTGGGACACCTTATTTGTTTATTGTTTTAAGCATACTGATAATATATTGTGCTGTTTTTCTTTCATCACTTTCTAATTATGCTGTAGACAGGGAGTTAGCGTATACGGGACTGTGATTTTAGAATCTACTAAGTGTGATGGATTTCAAAGCGTCTTCGTTAATCCCACAGAAGAGCATCATACTGCTACTGCTGATGCTACTATTACTGATAAAACAAGAATAAGTAGTTATAAAGATTTCGCTGCACGATTGGACTATATTAGACGTGTTGTTGGTTTCGAAGGCTGGTTTATAAATTTTGAAATAAACTTACCCAAGGTATGTAAAGAAAGGTTATGTATGTATATGTGTATAGTATTATTCTCTTGGATTCCAGGTGAAATATAAGGCTTCAGCTGGAGTACACCTTTATTCTCCTCTGTTCTTGGCAGAATTCTTTTAGCTGGCTCTTTTAGCTGTTCACTTTTCGTTTCGTCCTTGAACTCACACGATTCCCTCTATATCACCCTCGAACTCAAGGTCAACTCATCGCTTCCCACGCTGAGGGGGGTTTATTTCATTCAACAGTCTTCTCATTCTTCTTTTCATTTTTTCTAGCATATTTGTTGGTTGGTTCGTTGGAAGAGTTTCTTGTGACTTTTCTCTCTGACTGGCAATCTAATCTTCAGTACTGACGTAGAGAAGGCGGGTGTTGATGAAATTCTGCTGCAGCCCGTTAGGATTATTTTCTATGAAGCATCAAATCTTTGGACTATGTAGAAACCGTGACCTGACTTTAGTGTTGCAGATTCTGATCTTGTTCTTTATGCTGAGTGCAGTAGATTCCACATTTATTTCACATCAATGAAGGTCTGTCATTTTTGAGTTGTATTAGTGATGAGTGAATAGTCAGTTGGTGATGCGGCTGTAAAGCAGGTGCATCGATTAAGATGGCTAGGTATGCCAAGTGATCGCATTTCTCGTCGTGAAATGTTAGGCAACATAGGGTTATGATGGATAAGAGTTAGGAGGGTGTTGTCAAACCAATCCTAACCGTGACTTTTTTGACTGTTAGTTTATGTCAGCCATGTAGGGAGGTGTAGACTACCTACCTGGTTGGCTTTCTGGGTATGCTAAGAATCACTGGTGACATGGTTCAAAATCGTTCCTTCTATTTCTTAATCTTCCTGATCCACTAGGTTATTATTCTCCATGTAATTATTCTTTCTCCCGTACATTTATACCCATTGTAGTTCCTTTGTATAATGAGTTTGATTTCAGCTGGCAGACAATTAAGTGTCATCATAGAAAGTAATAGCATTTCTTTGTTTTGACTGACGAGTCCCAAATAAGCCGAAATGCGCATCTTGCCAGACATTATCAACCAAATTAAACTTACAGTTTTTGAGTAATTTTCAAAGAGACTTATGTCTGTATAATATAATCAGTTTTATTTGATAGAAGCCAGTCGAGAGTTTTTTGGCTTACCTTTAATCATCAGTAAGTCATCAATCATTGAAAACCAGTAAGCTCAACTGACAGCTGTTTTCTTCTAGTTTGAGACATTTCACTAACGGACACCCATCAGGGATGGAACCCATGATCTTCAGATGAAGATTGTAGCCTATTAACCATTTACGTTGTGATTTGTAGGTCGTGGGTGCACACCTCTGATGAAAACTCACACTCCTTAGTTTCATAATGACTCTTTACAAAAACCCAAATTGTGAATATCATTCTTCACTGCATTACTGGCTACAGGATAGATGTCCTGAAATTGTAGCGAAAACTCGTGACCAGTGGGGTTCATATCACAGGTGATGAAGTGGATGCTAATCGATAGCATTCGTTACTGAGGCAGTCTATGCAGCACGAATTTACAGAAGGTTAGAATTCGTGCGTCATTGGATCTCAACCCAACAAGTTGGCTTGGTAACCTTAAGCTCCTTAGTTGAAGTGAGTCACAAACTAGCGTGAAACAGTTGTTTAATGCTCTCTTTTGTATTGAAAGTTCACTTCTGATTTTTCTTTTTCTTTCTGCCTGTCATTCTCTCTACATATTTTTTTTTAAATTGTAGGATAAAGTGTCTTTAGTACGTGGTCGAATTATAAAATTCCTACGATTGCTTAAAAGTCTTGGCTCCGAAGTTATCTGGTAAGCCGGCGTGTTTATATTGCTGATGATGTACTTGTGTGTGTGTGAACAATGTAACTGGCTTACAGCCACTCTCAAGTTACCCAGCATCCAGCGACTACTTACCTGAATGGGGTATCGACATCTGTCCTCTTCATACTGTCATAATATATCCAGTTAGCTATAGAAACAGTGACAAAAGCTGTTGATAATCTGCAAACGCAATGAAGACGAATTCCGACGGGTTCGTATCATGTTAAGGAGTGAAAGTTGCTGAGAAGCAAGCTGACCAAAAGGCTCCATAACTACCACAAACAGTGGTGGGAGAAAAAAGCAAAATAGATGGATAAGGTATTGGTGATTGGTAGTATCAGATGGCTATGTAGGTTTATTAGTGAAACAGGTTGCAAAAGGCGCTCCATGCCACTGCTCGAATGGAACCCGAGTGGAAAAAGATGAATTGGGCATCTGAGGGTGACATGGATAAGATCGTGTGAGGAAAGATGAGAGAAACAATGGGCAATTGAGGAGCCAGATACGGAAAACAGCAGAAAATAAAACAAAGTGACGATGTGTTGTGGAATCTCTATGTTCCACTCAGAACCCAAGGGAACAATGATAATAATAACAATAACAATAATATTAATAAGTTAGCTGTCTCTTTAAGAAGAATAAGAAACCTAATCCGCCACTTATACTCTAGAATTAAAAGGATCTGTATTTATGATACGATCTATGGTAAACTGGAAAGGCTAAGATATGTTCTTATTGGGAAATGGATAATCTCTGAGATTAATCGACAAAAAATGCAATCTAGTACGTGATGCATCTTGAAACTAACATAAAATCAATGAAATCTAATGTTGTTCTCTAGCGAATGACGACATTGGCTGACGGTGATGGCGCTATATATCGCAAATTGGCAGAAGTTAAAATTCATTCCATCTCAGTGGCTGAGTCGTCAGCGAGCTCGCCTTATAACCTGAAGATCCTGGGTGGTTCAATCCCTACTGGTGGGGTGATGGTTGTGTACTGTTGAACAGTCCCATACTAGGAGCTGTCCAGTATTCCCTACTGGTTTTCAGCGGTTCTCTAGCTGATGTACCACTTCGTGATTCAAGTTGAAAAACATGAGATTAGAGCAGCTGCTGATTTGTGAAAGAAGCCACACATCTTTATAGAAATTGTCGTTTATGAATGTTGAATTTAAAGGTGATACAACACCACGGTTGAGATTCTAAGGAATCGTCTATTCAGATTGATGAGAAAAGGATTTTATTTGGTCGGCTGACCTACAGGTCACTTCCTTCCTTTAAGGACTGATCACCTGGAGATATGAAGGACAAATCACTGCTTTGAGTAACTTCAATGTGTTGTGGATTAAACATTCATTTGCTCCCACGGAGCTAGTGCTATATTTAGTCGCATAAAGCGTACACTATTACAGATGCCAAAGCAGAAGACTATTCGTCGCAGTCATCAGTTCGCGAACTAACCGCCAGCAAACAAACACTTGAAAATTAGTGTGTACTTGTGACTGGTTGTAGTATGAAGTTGCTTGAAGTTCTAATGCGAATTCATGACCAGTGGGTTCCTCCAGTAGGGAGTGTGAGGAACAGCTCGTAGATGACATTGGCTGGGGATGGTCACCCTGTGTGCCACGAATTGGCAGAAGTTGCAATTCATGGGACACCCAATGGGGATTCCATTCCAGTGGATGAACGGTCAATGAGCTTACCCCGTAATCTGAAGGTTTTGGTTTCGATCTCCGATGGGGTCGTAAATGCATACTTCCGAAAAGTGGCAACCAAGGACGAAGCAGTATTCCCTGGTTTTTCCACTAAAGTAGAATATCGAAGTGATACTTGGTATTATCATTTATTGTTTGGTCTTTCTTGATCCATACGTTTTCTATTCAGGTATGATGCAGTCACTTGGTCCGGTCGCCTGGAATTTCAGAATGAATTAACCCGTGAAAATCTGCCATATATGAAAGCTGCTGGGGATGGTTTGTTTCTTAATTACAACTGGGGGCGTCATAAATTACAAAGAACACAAGAACTGTAAGTAATTAGGTTGAGTTGTAGTGTAGACATTCTCACTTATTTTTAGGACGAACAGGCTTCTTTGTTTATGGCTTAACTTTTTGAGGGATTGATTTCGATGTCATACAGACAATCAGATTTGTTTTATTTACTTATGTCATAAATTCTTGAGGGTTTTGTAAGTACAAGATATACCATGTATTTTTTCTGATGCAGGTTGTTGGTGCTGTTTTCCCGTTCATCGCTTTTTGTCCAAGTCTAACTTTCGTGTCTCATTATCTCAGTGTAGGAGATATAACTTCGAGTGATCAGTGGGGTATAGCATCGTGTTCTGAAGGCTCAAATTCTTGTCACATTTGATAAAACCACAAACCAACAGTATCACTCCATCATAATCCTTACGTACGTTTCACTAGGATCATTTGAGATGGCATCTAATTGGAAATAGAGAATAAATATTGTTCGCTTACATGTATTCTAAATTTTATCATGAGAATAGTTAATAATTTGGAATTATGTATGTAGACTCATATTTTTCGTTTTATTTATTTTCTTATATATCAGTGCTATTAATGCAGCGATGTCAACCAAAGTCTACGTTGGTATTGATTGTTTTGGTCGTGGATGCATTGGCGGAGGAGGTTTCGGTACAGTTGAAGCTCTCAAACTTATCTTAGACGTAAATGTAAGTCACAGGAAGAGGTTCATATATATATTCATGTATATGTAATTATTTATTATCCCCTCGGGTTCCGAGTGGAACATAAGGCTTCAACAGCACATCTCTGTTTCACCCTGTTTTCCTTAATTCTTTCCAGCTGGCTCCACAGGCTTCCATTTCTTCCTCACACTATCCCATCCATGTCATCATCAGACGGCCAACTGGTTGTTTCCCACTTGGGTTCCACTCGAGGGTTTTCGTGGTGCATGATGTTACTCAACGGTCTCCCCAGTGTAGGTCTAATTCATTTCCATTTTCTTTGGCATATTTGTTTAGCGATAGGTTCTTGGTTGATTTCTGGCGTTCCTTGTTGCCAGTCCTTTCTGGTCGACCATTTGATCTTCCATATGGGGTGGAGACAGCTGTTGACAAAATCTGACGACTGTTCTAAATGCTTTTGGTGATACGCCAAGTCTTTGAACCATAGAGAACTGGCTTGACAGCTCTCTCTCTTCCCAGTGGACCAGAATACTTCCACACTCCTAGTCATCATCATCATTATCATTACTTCATTGTCATTCTTGTCTTTTATTCATCTAGGCTTCACAACCTGACCGCCCTTTGTCGATTGCTTTATTTGCGCCTGGTTGGGTATTTGAAAACTGTGATTTAACTAGCGCGGCGGGTGACCCCACTAAAGCTTTCAACTGTTTAGCTGAAAATGATGCAAAATTTTGGTCGTTACTGGCACCGTATATCGCTTCTCTACGTGGTCGTGGTAATCTTAACAACAGTTGTACTATGCTGTATCGGCCTACACTTCCACATCTACCAGTGCTTCAATCTCCTTGTGATTTATGTGATAAATATGGATCGGAGATATTATTCTGTACAACATGTTGTTCTGGGCAGGGATTATTACCCTCATCAGCGAATTCATGTGCAGTTACAGATGGTGATAATAGTGCAGTTATTTTCAAGAAAGGAAGTCAAATGAGCCGACAGCAAGTAAGTGTATGTATTTGAAGGCTAAATTATGCTGCAATCGTTTTTTCCCTTTCCTTTACACTCCTGAGTGGAATATTAGGCATCAAGCTTATGCTGTAGAGTTGCTATCCCTACAGCAAACTTCCCCTTTTTTACCGGTTTTACTTCTGCTGGCTAAGCGAAGTTTAGAAACGCGTCGGCGGTGGGGAATCGAACCAGCCAGGTTGGCATGGTTGGCAAACTTTCTACCAAACTGAACCACCAACGCATAAACGCCTAATGGAGGAGGTGCGACTTTAACCCGCGCCTTTCGAATAAGTGCATTACACCGCTCGGTTACTGCACCCATATAAAGCATCAGGGTAGGGTGCATACAATTCTCTTCGAAAATTGCACATAATGAATAGGTTGCGTACTATTCTATCACTCTTGGGAGATCTAGCAACAAAGAGTCACAAGAACACCATCAGAGCATATGGCAGGCTAAGTACCTAATAAGGGTTGACGGTAGTTACTAGCAGTGGAATCGACGATGCAGCTTTCGCCCTATTTGGGACTCATCAATCGCATATGCTTGCGTTCCCTAGTGATTGAGGTGTGTAACTCTATAAATTCGCATAACTGGCCTCTCCTTTAGGCTACTTATCTTACGGCAGGAGTCGCTGATCTAGATTTTACTACGCGTTTTGCACTCTGCTAATGTGATTGATTTAGGATTACTACTTTGATCTATTTATTTGATCTCACAGTCATAGATTGAGTTGTATAAAGTAACCCATACTATTTGTTTTATGAGCTCCATACTGCCTTTTTATTCGATCCAGCTTATTTTTAAGTGAGATTGTGGGTGATTGAACATGATTTGTATTCCTGTCTCGTTAAAAATCTTAAGCTGAGTTTCAGTGATTCCTCCTATATCCTTTATTTAGTGAATGATAATGACCCCACTGAGACTTGAGTCTAGATTTCATCGTTTTAACAATTAAATATTAGAATTATTAAAAAAACTAATGCATATCTCGCATTTTCACTTATTCTATAGATATTTCCAACTTGTCGTGAGCTGAACAACACATTGTCGACTAAGGATAATTGTTTATTGAATCCAACTTTCACTGTAAGTAGCAGCAGTGTTTTCTATTTTGATTACAATTCGTGTATTCTGCTCTCTTCTTGGATGTGTGATCATTCTTTGGGTTGATAGTAGAACATACAGCCTCAACTGGGGCACATCTCCATTGTGCACTATTCTTTGTTATCTTTCTTAACCAGCTGCACGACCGTCGTCTTCACATGTTTTCCTCCAGTGTCACTCTCGCACCTATACCCGAATCGGTGCTTTGCATTCCCTTTCCACGTGATAGTCTATATGGCTTTTGGTGTCATTTGAAGGTTTCCCGCGACGTGTTTCAAATCCATCCATTTCCTTGGACTTTTTTTTTGGGTAAATAGATTGTTCTGTGGTTCGCTTGCTGTCAGAGTTCCTTATTGCTTGCTTATCGTTTTTTGTCCAACCGGCCATCTGATCTTCAGTATCGTGACAGCGTAGAAGACAGCTGTTAACGAAATTCCTATTCCTTATTCGTTCAACAATATATGAAAAACATCTCTGAAATCACACTGGCAGACCACTAAAAACTTTTGGGATTGATGTCACCCTCAAACCGAAAAAATCACTTCAGTCTGTATACTGTGTCAACCAAAGGATGCAACAGCAGAAGAAAACAAAACCAACTTCATCTACAAGATGAATCGCAACATCTTCGAAAAGTATTATATTAGCCCCCTCCATCCTTTCTTCCACGAACATGCCATCCATTCTGTTGTATATCAGTTCATTCAGACAACCACGGGCACCAATTTGATTGGGAAAATGCATAAATTCCAGACGAAGGAAACACCAGAGAAATTCACCAGAAATCACCAGACACATTAGCCTAGATAAGATTTACCAATCAACTCAAAGTGAAATCATCTCATTGACTTAGAATATGCAGATGACATAGTCCTTCTAGTTGAAGACGCTGACAAATCGCAGAGTCTTTTGAACACCTTGAGCAACAATCTGGGAATGTGTGGCATGCGATTTGCTCCCTCTGTTAAATGTAAGATGATGCTACAGGACTGGACTGGACTACATTGGCTCCTAGCTTAGAAATAGGGAGTGAAGTTGTAGAGTGCGTTGAGCACTTCACTTATTTGGGAAGTTGCATCAGCCAACGCCAACGGGTTGATCGCTGACGAACTTTCAGCATGGATACAGAAGGCTCGTTTGGCATATGACGACTTACACCGTCTCTGGCGTAGACGTGATATTCGGTTGGCTGTCGACCAAAGGGTGTGTGTACTGAATAGAAGTAGCAGTTCGCTGTGTCCTCCTTTATGGCTGTGAGTGAAACAGTGGTAGACGTGAAAAGCCTAGCTACCTGTCTTTGACAATAGGTTTCTGCGTTCTAACTCCCATGTTAGGTGGTGGGCGTAACAGAGTGAGTAATACTGAGGTTAGGCATTTGTCGAGTGTTTGGTAGGTGGGAGTGAAAGTCAGTTGATCAGGTTGTGAAGTTACATCGATTGAGATGGCTAGGACATGTGTTACACACACCTAGGCACTGTCTTTCTCGACGACCAATGTTAGCTGACACAGGATTGATCAGGTTGGAAAAGAGCCAGTGGTGGTCAAACCAAAACATAGCTTCATCAGTCAGTGAAATCCACAGCAGTTAGTTTAAGCCAGCCAGCCACGTAGGGAGGTGTCGACTTCCTGGTTGAGGTCCTCGGGATGGTAAAAACCAATGTCTGGAGACAGTTGGTGGGTGATATGGCTCAAAATCGTTCTCAATGGCTGGCGCATATGCATTCACACTGTGATTTATAACATTCAATAAAACTCTATTGTTCTCCTATAGTACTATTCTTTTTGCCTCACATCTCTTTTTAATACCTCTCTTTTGTATCTATCTTGTCTTACATTGTGTGCTACAAGGATGGAGTGTGGCAACTCGAACTGCTGCACATCAGTGCAAAGTTCTACTCTGAGACCAGTCAGGCAGTCATAAAATGAAAGTCATGTGGAGAAAAGATCGACTTTTAGGTCAACAAAGCAATCAAGAGTCAATGCAAATGGACTAGAGGTTGAGGAAATTGCTAGAAAAAAGGTTCAAAGTTACCAACGGAGATGGTGAATAATCTCATGGAGAGATGAAGATGTTTTCCAAAGAGGTATTGAAACCTTTGCCAGTAAGCCATGCAGCTAAGGGAACACAGCTACACCATAATTATACACCTGAGCTACAAATCTTCTCCCCATTATATCAAAGTGGATATGAACTGAGTGGCTTCACTTGCCAAGCTATCGACTGATTGAGACTAGGATGGGAAAGGATGAATTGAATTTGAGAGGAGATCGTCTGTGCTATAAATCTTTTCCATCACATGTTATTCCCACGTATAGCAGGATGAATTTACATGCCATCATAAATTTAGGCACTCATCTGTTTTGTTAGGCAGTAGTGTGGCATAAGTTTCAAACATTTATATTTATAGGCGTTCAAGCCTTCAACAGTATTCTTTTGGATTGTTAATGTAGCGAATACTTCAGTTACTTTGGAATGTTTCATCAACTCAAATGGATTGATGAGAATGTCACAGTCGGCTGGGATTCTTTAAGGAAAGTAAGGTAGGTGTTCATTTACTCAGAAATCAAATGTGGAGATCTTCAACACACAGAACAAGCAACAAGAACCAGATTTTGTACAGCAATGTCCCTGCCGACAAACACATTATCTGAAAATTATACTGTTTATTTTCGTGTAGCCTCTTTGTAATTTACACTTTAATTATGTTACCTTTTTTCAAATATATGCACACGCTACTGATAGGCAGTACAAGTACTATGTGCAGGTTATGCAGATTTCACTGGAACATGTTTATGCATAAAATTTCAAAGTATCAATCTATCCGATCGAAATGTTATCGAAAAAAGTGATCCGTTAACAAAATCTTCACTTATGGAATTATTTTTATTCAATAAGAATGTGTATATTTCTAAGAATGCCCAATTCACAATAGCTGTTCGCGGTTTCTATACATCTTCAGATGGAGTTTCTGCATCACATAATCAACAGCATGAACAGCAAAACCAACGGTTAGATGAATTAATAGATTTGAAATTGTTTGTTGATGCGTTTCATTGTCAGTCGTGTCAGTCAGTAGGCAATCATAATATTAATGGTGATAATCAAAGTCAGAATGGTCAGGTGAATTTCAAGCGTTCATTTCTAAAAGCTGATGAAGGTGAGTGGGTGGGTGCTCAACCGGCTGTTTAAGTAAATGATTATTTCTGTCATATTTTCTCACTAACTTAAATGTTTCGTCCTTGTTCTATTGTCTATATGTTTGTTATTTCGTGGTTACTGGGAGCGTAGTGTTCTTGATCTCACTCAGTTGATCGTATATGTGACAGTAGTATGGGACGGCTTGCAGTCGGCTGGATTGATAAGGTGTAGGCTTTGATGTTGGAATAGAACTTGGATAAAGTTTATTTGATAAAGTCTCACAGTGTTTTGCAGTGATATTTACTGATATTATTACTATTATTATTAAATATTACTGTACAACGTGAGTCTTTATCAAATAAATTTTCTCCATAATGGAGAGGTTTAGGCTTCCTGGTTAGGGTCCTTGCGATCCTAAGGACCATTATATACAGACAGTTGGTGATATAGCTCGAAATCATTGTCAATCGTACAGATGCATTTACTCTTTGTGAATCCCGTTATCTAATAAACGGTCGTGTTTTCCCATGTTACTGTTCTTTCTCCCGGACATTTTTTTTACTGTAGCTCTTCTGAATCTGTTTCCTCTGTCTTTTGTCTATCTTCATGTGCTGCATGAAGTGTGACAACTTGATGTGCTGCTGTGGTTTTCTGCGAAGTTGTTCTATGTTATACCAGCCAGCAATTCGTGTTGTTTCACTCTCTCTATTTCATTATTGTGTAGAGCTTTGCTCTCTTCCGGGTGTTTTCTTTTTGTTTCGCAAGATATTTCCTTCATTTTTTTTAAAGAATATGATCATTTCTGTCAAGGAGGGCTATATTCCTCCTAATCTTTTATCAGATATTGTTATTATCAATTATCTTTTGTCATAATACCAATTTTTGTAGTTCTTCTTCTTTGTGTTTTTTTCTCTCATTTAGCCAAAGTTGAATTCATCAATAATGTCCCTTGGATATTACTTCATTATAAGACTTCTAGTCTTGCAATGGATAATGCAAATGATGTGAGGAGTAATAGTGACAGTGCGAAGACGTCCGTTAAACAGCCGAATATATCTCCAATGTCATCACAATCTGCGCCTGATAAGGCTTTCACAACATTTGATACTAGTAATGAAAATCCAGAAGTGTCACTGTCAGTGGCTTCTCCATCACACTATCTCCACTTGCATCGTATCGGTTTAACATGGAGTTCTACTTTAGTGCCTTCTGAAATTGGATCCAATTTGTCACATTGTCATCAGCTGACTGGTTTTTTGCTGGGCATGATTCAGCTATGTGATCCTAACTGGCCATTAGATAATTATTTCTTTTGAAGTTATGATTTATATATTGATTTTGTTTATTTAAAGGAGAGGGCGGTTGGGTGCGTGGGACCATGGGTGTGTGGTTGGAAAAACGAATTTTATTGTTTATACATGTATACATATATATTCCCTACTTATCCTTGTCCCCTACACCCTACCCCATTTGACTCTATTTGCAGTCGAAGCCTCCTACTATTGTAGTTTATTTTGTCACCATGCGAAAAGTATACAGAGAATCAATTGTTTTCCACAGATAATTTCTCTTTTCACTTCTTTCGTCTGTTGTTGTTGTGGTTGATTTGGTTGTTTGTAGTTGTGCAGTGTTTATTATAATTATTGTCATGTATTTGTATGAAGCAACTACACTAATCTAAATGACTAGGTGCATGTGTATCATACATGCCAACCTATCACCTTTTGTCTTCAAGCTGTGTTAACTGATCTAAGATTAGTTGTTACTATTGAATCACAAACTTGTCTCATAGTTTCTGGGATAGTTAGGAGACTGCCTGTGTGTCCAGACCAAAACACGTGGTAGTTGCCTTAAGGGGCCACCCGTAAGTTTTCGACTTGAATTTCGGTCGATAAGGCAGTATATTAAAGCAGCGTAAAGAGTTGATGGGTTCCCGTGGTTTCCGGTGATGAGGAACCGATTTATACGGTATTCGACCCGTTCGGATTCTGGAGTGCATGTACACCGCAGTTTCCGAATCAGGGAGGGTATTCCACCTCCCCTAGATAGCTAGACCTGCGTGTGCATCAGTCCGATTGTGAGCGCCAGATGTTCGCATTTGCCATTTTACTTTTGTGAGTAGCACCCGCCATGTCATATGAAGGCGGTGATTAGGACAACTTACCTGATGGCAGTGGCCATGAACGTGTGGCCACATGAGGGCGTTTTGCGATGAAGGCGGAAGTCTACCCACCTGCTTCTGTACCAGCATATTTATAGAGGCGATATAGAATTAGGGTGAAGGGGTAGAGGGATCAAACAAAAATGTGGTATCAATCTATTAGGAGTTTGACTGTTGGATTGAGTCAGCTACGTAAGGAGGTGTAAACTGTCTGGTTGACTGGGTTCTTCAAAACTCTGAGAATCGATAAGTGAAACAGTCGCTGATATGGTTCAAAATTGTTCTTATTCTCTCAGATGCATTCACTCTTTGTGTGAACCTCCCAGACCCGTTAAATTCCCATTATTCTTCATGTAAGAAACATTCTTTCTCCCGTACATTTCTTTTTAATGTGTGCCTTTTGGAGGATATGGCAACTTAAAGTGATTCATTTTTATACAGAGTTCTACATTGTTGAAAATTCAGTCAATCAAAGCTGTACTTAATTTTTAGTCTTTTCATGTTAAATGTAGCGATATATTGTGAGCAATAAGCACGGTGACGAGAGAGGCAGTTTGGGTTAAGATAGAAAGTTAATGGATAAGTGTAGATTCAGCACCATCAATTGAGATAGTTCGAGAATGTCTATCTGTCGTCGTTAAGCAATGTTAGCTGATATGGAATTGGGGTTGGTAAAGAGTAAGGTGTTGTCAATTCAAGCCATCAATAGACGTAGCTTAGATTATGGAATTTTTGCAGGGAACTGGATTTTTTCTAACATAGGTATTTCTTCAGTTAGCAACCATTGAGAACCAACAGCGGGGTGCACTGGCCAGTTGTTTCTTCCTAGTTTGGAACTACTCTTCATCGTTGCGAGACCCCACTCAAGACTGGACTACCCAGGATGTCCAGGTTACAAGTTCATGCTCGTGGACAACTAAGTCACTTGGGCCAGAATCAAGTGACTCGTGAATTTGAGCCTCTATCAGTCCTTGATATATGCATGAAGAACAGTCGCCAGCCAACGTCATTGATGAGTATTTGCCCTCACAAACGATGACTCGGTGGACCTTACGCCTCGTGTCTTCTCATTAGAACGCCAGACCGTTTCATCCTGTGGTCTGTCAATCATTACCGTGCATTCGATGGATTTTCAATTGCCACTTTGTAGGATTCTGACAATCCCTCTTTGAAAATGGATAATCTGTGACGTCCAGTGACAGAAACATGCTATCTGGTACGTGATCCAACTTGAAAATTATTCTAACTGACTACAGGTTAAAGTTGCCTGGAGTTCTAGTGAGAAGTCAAATGACCAGTAGGGTTCACACTAGATTGTCGAGTGTGAGAACTGATACTCGTCTATGACATTGATTTTTCCTGACCATAGCTCTAAAAATTACGAATTGACAGAAGACAGAAGTCACGCACTGGTCATTAGATTCCGCCCCATTGTTGGTTGAATGGTGAACTAGATGGTCTAGTAATCTGAAGGTCCCAGTCTCTCTAGTTTGATAGCTGAGGGTTGGATTATATGTACTATATACTATTGAAGAGTCCCAAAGTAAAATCCACTCTAATCCATCTGGAAATAAATCTTGATATTGTCCCTAATTAATCTGTTTACGTAATTTGTTTATACAGATTCGACATTTTCTGAACTCTTCATCGTACCTCCAACTTACAAGTATATGTAAAACACCGATACTTCGTCATAGTCATCCTGCAGATGTCATTTCAATAATTCAGTCATGTCATCATCCTTATTCTTCTTCCCATTCATCGAATTCTACTGATGATAATCAACTCTCTGATGGGAATTACGGTAAAGCTGCTACTAGACTTCGTTTTCCTGTACTACCGAAACCTTATAAATTAAGACGGGCTGAAGGGGTTGGTGGTGGGCTAACTGGTCGTATTATGTTACTTCGACGATATGTATCAAAATTGCTGGATGATGAACGAATTGAATTACCGTGGTCACATGCTGTTGAAACACGTCTATACACAGAACGTTTAATACAAGAATGCATACTAGCTTCAACACAAGAACAACATAAAGGTGATCTTGTCCGATTGTTTGAAATGTGGAAAAATTCGCCGGAGAAAGAGACGACAGAAGACCAACAACATGAAATTAATCATGTGAATACGGGAATTTTAGAGTTGTGTGCGTTTTGGTTAAGTGAAGAAAGACTAATTGAAAAGTTATTCAAGGTATGTAATTTTGTTATCTACTCATTGATGTATTCATCTATTTCTTGATTACTTTTGTGTGTGTGTGTGCGTGTGCCAGATTCATCTCCATATTGTTCAATATAATTGTTGGGCTTTAGGTTGCTCGTCGGTTTTTCGCCTGACAGAGTTCCTTATTGTTAATTCTTCCTTCAGTATGGAGCCAGCGAAGACAGTTGTTGATAAAAGTCTGCAGTAGCCTGTTGGAAATGTTTCCGGTGACGAAACAAGTCTCTCAACTACAGTGAAGTACTGAGTGACTTTCATCAGTGTTGAAGATCTGAATCTTGTTCTTTGCGCTGTCGAATGCAGACGATTTCCGAACTGATTGCAGAATAATGAAGGTCTGTCTCGCCTTTCCAATCGTAACCTTTAACACTATCCACACAACCTCTAAATAAAAGGATGCTGCCTAGATAAGTGAAGGCAGGAAGTGACCCATTTCAAATTTCTCCCGTTGCTGGTGATTTGTGTGCTTGTTGTTGTTGCTTACGTATCTTCATCAACTCTGTCTTCTCTGTGTTCACCTTAAACGTCCTGTCTTCCATGCCTACCTCTTCTTCCAACTTGTTGATATTTGCCTGTAGACGTTCGAGTTTGTGTGACATTGGATATGAATCCTCTGTGAAGTTCAAATCTCCTTGTGGATTCAACATATGCCTATCTTCTCGCTCTCCACTGTTCCGCGCGTAATCCAGTCCACCACAATCAGGAATACCATCATCTGTGGTAGTTGGTAGTCTTGTTTTACTCTTTTTTAAAATTTGAACTCCTAGTTAAGTTTTCCGTTGTGGATCATTTGACATGTGACATTGGAGTAATTACCAAATCATCAGTTTGGAATACTTCTGCATTCGACAGAGCAAAGAACAAGATTCAAATCTTCAACACTGATGAAAGTCACTCAGTACTTCACTGTAGTTGAGAGACTTGTTTCGTCACAGGAAACATTTCCAACAAGCTACTGCAGACTTTTATCAACAACTATCTTCGCTGGCTCCAAACTGAAGATGAGGTCCATAGCCAGGGCGGATTGAGAACGAGAAACTCTGGGAACGGACCGATCAATAGGTTAGTGCTTAACAAATGTTCTGAAGAAAATGGAAATGGATTGGACATACATTGGGAAAATGGCTGTGCAACATCACGTGATCCTCGAGTGGAATCTGGATCCGAAACGACCGTTTGACCGGCCTAGGGGGACATGGAGGAGATATTCTTTTAAGAGATGGAAGCCTATGCGCAATTGTGAAGCCAGCTGATGGAGATTATAGAGGAGAGGACAAAGTGGAAACATACTGTTGAGGTCCTATGTTCCATTCAGAACTAAGTGGGAGCAATATTAATTATAATCGTATGTTAATAAATTATCTATTGATTGGAAATTCGTCTGAGTATCAGAGGCTTTTCTAAGAATACCCTGGTTTTTGGGGATACTTAAGCTTTGAGCACCACATATTTGAAAGGTCACTCAGTGATATTCGTTTTACTTTTTCCCTCTTTCTTCGTTTCCTAGGTATTTATACCGAGATATCGATTTTATGAACATGCTTACACAAGCCTATATCGTATACACTCACCAGTGTATCCAGTGAAATCAGGTGGTGGGAATGTATTTGGTATATTAGAACTACATGGGAATCCATGGCCACCGGTAAGTGGTCATGGCGTCTACGGAAGAGATTTAAATCCTGAACCATATAAAGAGAAGTATTTAATTAATGTTCTGTTGAATGCTGCACGTCAAAGAGCAGTCATCAACAGTAGTGGTAAGAAAGACAAGCAAGAAAATAGTCCTTCTGTTCAAATGTTGTCAACCTCGTCAACACCGTTTGAGTATGAATTGAAACCTATTGGTTAAATGACTAGCTTCCTTATGTACAAACAAACACACAAACATGCATGCACATTCATTTATTACTTAAATGGTTTGTCATTGTACCACTTATAAGCCTTTGTAATGTATGTACTGTATGTATAAAATTTATCTCATTTTCTCATTGTATCTTTGAAAAGAAGGAGTGAAAAGGAGTGTAAATGACTTTTGTGTATATTCTTATTAGATAGTGAAAATAAAATCGGTTTTTTTACAGACTTTTTGATGTTTTTTCTACTTATTTTGTTACTATTGTTGTTGTTGATTTGTTGTCGATTTATTGCTGTTGTTGAAAGAATAAATCTGTAGATCAGAATTTGTATTTTTCAAGCCAGTAGGATGGAGTCCAATAGTGTCAGTTCATCAGTTCTGACTTCTGTCATTTCGCGAGTTTCAGCGTGACTCCCAACAGCCGAAATCATCGGTGGGTATTTGTTTTCGTACGTGATAACTGACACTTGGTGGACCCTATTGGTCACGTTTCCTTACTAGTGGTATTTTCGATCCTTGATCAAATTTGAAACAGCAAATCAAACCCCTTCAAACTAACCCTTGAAAAGTAGTCTGGTGCTTACTAGTGACTGACTGGAGGAGGACGAAGTTCCCTGGAGTTCTAGTAAGAAGAGGGGGGTCAGTCAGGTCCTCCGGTGTGGGGAAAATACTCGCCGATAACACTGACTGGAAGTTACGCTACATATTGCAGATTGGAAGAAGTTAGAATTTAATGGCTATTGGATTCCGTCCTTCCTGAATGGTCAACGAACTCACTTTGTAACCTGGAGATCGTGTATGATTCTGTCTGCAATGGTGAGGTCGTAGATACGTGTTGATGAAGAGTCCCAAAGTAGAACGATATATCTGTCCAGTACTCTCTGCTGTCGGTTTTCAATGCTTGACTAGTTGATATCACTCCATTATCAAACTTGAAACAGTCCAATGGAAACTGATGAATGTGGAAGTCGATTCGAACCTCATGACTCTGCTGTTGTAAGTTGATGACTGATAGAAAAGAACCATAAATTCACGAATACTCAGTTACATGTTATATTATATTCCCTCTTGATAAAGCTCAATCTGCACTAGCACACACACACACACCTAGACTAGACGCATTGTAACAACAGAAAGGAAGACACGGAAGCCATAGTATATTTTTCATTAATCGAACCGCTGTTTATTTATCTACAGTTTATACTCTTTAACCAATCACTGAGCGTGTGATTTCGGTTTACATCAAACGACAAGAAATAGAATGTTCAGATATACACATAGTATTCTGTTACCAACTCAGTATTGAACTTTGGGAAAGTATTCTGTCTCCAACATCAAATAGAATGTTCAAATAGATACTTTGTATTCTGTTGTTAATGCTGAATTGAACTGTGGGAATATGTGAGAATAATATTCCGTTGGCACACATTGTCTGTTTCACACCACCACAGCTACCTACCTAGTATCCAGTCAAAAGTATTCACTACAGTTAATCGATCGAGCGCGAATATCTCATTGGTAACGTGTCTCTGACTGCTTGCATCACTGTCTGACGCGGGTTTAAATCTCGAAATAATGAGACATGAGTTCCCTGAAAGATTATGTGTACACTTATTATACAGAAGTAGTTTGTAGATATGCAAATTAAAACCGTGCCATTTGCAGTTTTGCACAGTTTGATGTGGTTAGATTTCATCACAGTTTCCTTCGGAAATGGAAGTTATTCAGATCATATGTCATCCGCCTGACAATACCATAAAAATTGTAATCAAGAAAACAAGCATAAATGCATAGAACTATATACATCATCAGTGTATCAGATTTGATTCCGTTTAAATGTGTGTAATATGTGTTGCAGTTCGCTCCGTTCTTCTTTTTTTCCAGCTGATTGTTAGATATGGTCATGGGAAGTTGATGATATTGACGTGCGTCAGTGGCACGGTGGTAGAATGCCCGCCGACCATGCATGTGGTCCGGGCTTCGATCCCTTGCCGAAGCACTCCTTTACAACCGCATCCCGTATAAATAAACACCGCTGCTACCGAAACTTCAAGCCTCCAGCTTGAAGCCCTATCTTCCACTGGGAACGTAAAAATAAAAAAACAACAACAACAATATTGGGCATCGCTGATCGAGAGAGACGCATTTGTCGTTGGAAAATACGGTTCTGATGGTACTATATGAGTTAATTGGTTAAAAGCCCACTTGAAACCTTCATGAAATAGGTTTTGCATCCAAATGCAGTTCCCCTACCTCTCATGCAGCATCCTCCCAATGCATAAATATGTATTGGGTCATTGAGTTGCTTTTTATAGATATTTTTTTAGTTTGTTTTCACCCTAGATGCCTTTGTTTCAGACCAGTCTGATGTAGGCGTTTTACTCATATATTACACTGACGAAACTATTGATTTTTCGGACAGATTTTGATTATTATAACTATTACCTTGGGTTCTTACTGGAACATAGGACTCCCTGTGGGTTACATCTCCATTTCATTCTCCGTTCTCTTCAGTCTGTTTGTTTAACCGGCTTCACAATTACCCATAGGCTTTCATTTCCTCCCCTTCTGTGTCATCCTCTGCCTCAAGTCCAACTTGTCGCTTCCCATTCAGGTCCCTCCAACCTCTGGCTTGGCACGCGATGTCACTCAATGGTCTATTTAGTGCGCATGTCCAACTCATCTACATTTTCCTCTTTATATTAGTTGGTTGGGCAATAGGCTCTCTGTTTATTTCGTTGCCTACTAGAACTCCTTGCTGTTTATCGTTTCTGGCAGTGTATTCTTCAGTATCTATGCAGCAGTGATAGCAGCTGTTGATGAAATCTGAAGTAGCATGTTTGCTCAATTTCATTCATTCGCTCAAAGCGAATGTATGAAATATATTTTACAGTTTGATACAGAAACCACGATATCACTATTTCAATGTAGATTTCATCACATACCAGAATCAATCAGAGAACCATTGAAAGCCCAGAAGGAGAGGACAACGATTTCTTTCTGCTTTGGACTCTTCATCACTGAACAACCATTGCCTTCATTAGGGTTCAATTCAACACCCTGACGAGGTCTGCCTGCGTTGGGGTTCAATAATCCATGAATTCTTTCTTTTATTAATTCATGTCATATGGCTCTACTGCCAATCAGTGTCATCTATAAACATCCACTTCATCTTCTGTAACACAGTGTGGAACGCACCGTCTACTAATTCTCATTAGAACTTCAGAACGTCCAAACCTTTAGCCACTCGTAATCTGGAGGTTGTTCACATTCGGACTTTCGGTTTCTGTAGAGGTTGCTTAATGTCATTGGATTTAAATTCGATATATAAATATTCTTTTGTGGGAAACTCTTCTAGGAGTTAAGTATTTTATTCGAATAGTGTTTCCGTTAGGTTGATAAATTATGATTGGATTGATCTTCGCTTGTTTTGTACTGATAGCCCTAATCTAAAAACTTAGTACTTCGATGTGTGTAACGGAGGGTCCTGGATTTGAGTCGCAGTGCAGACATTGTCATTTGCCGTGTATATCTGGATGATGAGTTCTGAGTAGGCCAAAAATAATTTATACGTTAAATAAAATTTGCAATCGCGAATAGCTAGTTTGAAGTGATTCGGCTCTGTGATCTAAGTCAAACACCATTTACACCACTGATTGATGAACCCGGCCTACAAAATGAGAGAAACAGCCGTATGATGTTCCTATCACTTCGATCTCTGTAGCAAGCACCACTGGCTGATGTAACTGGTATACACCTACTTATATCAATCGATCAGTAATATAAATAATTTTACGAGCCTTATATGCACGCTCACTTTTGTAATCGTCTCTAATCGAAAGATATCCTATTTAATGGGTTTACCCCTGTTTTATGTGTGCCTTTCATCTTCTCAAGGTTGATGAAAGGCGAGTGTATAACTCTTCTGTTTGAGATTACCTTCTTGAATCCGATCACTCAATTCTCCTCAGCCGACGTAATGTATCGTCTAAAGTTATCTAAAGGGTCAAGTTCAGTCATTCTATACGTTTATGTTTTCATTACCTAAGAACAAATATTTGAATTTTGTATTGAAAAACCATTTTCCAATCTATCCTTATCACAAAAATCTTTCTTTACTGGTTAATTTCACTCCATTTCACGTTATCTTCGCCTTCATTGTTGTTATCACCATTGTTGGTTGGCGGTGGGTGGGGTGGTGGACTTATTTTCCCTGTGATAATCAAACAAATGTAGGGAGAGAGGGTAGTCATTCTAGGGAAGCTGACCGATAGCTTGTATTTTTAACATGATATGGTAGTTGGGCTGGTATATCGCAATGACCTAGAGAGCTATACTGGTTGGGTCTAGTATTCTTGAAGGTCCCTTACCATTCCTCGAAGGCGGCTAGACACTAACATCACAGTGTAAGTAGTTTACTGTATTTCAGGAGTCTAACGGTGAAGTCATAATGCTGGCGAATAAGGGGATATAACAGCAAACCAGCTATACTTCATCTCCGCTCTGAGGAGCTGGAGGAGAGGGGTAGAAAAGTTCACCCCCCCCCCCGGTGGTAAGACTGGCATACGTACACAACTTTCAAAACCAATTCAAACAGGCCATGTGTGACTGGCTTCAAGCAGTTGTCCACTGGGCTCTGCACTCCATTTTCAAACCATGGGAAAATAAGAAGATACAACTTCTGATATGGTGCTTTTCAGTTCTATGAACTAGATTCGGAAGTAACTAACCTGACCTTTTTAGAGCTTGGACTGAATATTATTAGTTGTTATGCAGACTACAAAACTGACAGTTTTATGTAGAACAATGATAAAATGTTTGCCAACTACGTGGGACTAGCTGATTAAGTTTCAACATAGAACTACTGTGCAACAAAGTGCATCAATTTAGATTACCACACACTCCATGTAGCACACATAGGTAGAGGAAAGAACGAGGAGAAGTGAGATTCAAAAGAACTGTATTGAGGTGAAATGTACCGAGGGAAGTCTAATGATATGGACGTTGAGAATGAGGATTTTGGGTTATATTGTGGTGAGAGATGGTTGCTAGCCACATTGGTTGACAGTAATTGAGGTCAAAGGTCAAGATGGACAGGCGGATACAGTTAACATATAGATGAACTGATACAGCCACAAGAGATGCAAGGTTAACTTTGTGTGAGAAACAACCAATCAACAGACTGTATTTTCTACTAACATTAACCTACAATAATGTACATCAAAATCTATAAATACGTGTTGATTTTCCGTAATAAAGGTTCTGTTGCCTGGCCCTTGTCTTCTGTTGTTACAGTATCACATCAGTAGTCTTAAGTCACTGCTTCTTAACATCCCTAGGGTCGACCCCCCACCGGACAAGTAGCCGACAGCATCCCTACATGATTGACTCAAATTAAAAGTTAAAAAACTTCATGGGTTGCTGCTATACTTCTAGTTGATCACCCGTAATGACATTGTAGGAGGTCAAAATTGTATGATTCTCAGCAACCGTTGCACTCTTCAACCTCTTTTGTTCCACTCGAAACGGATGGGGTTGCGGTAAAACATGACAATTCACTGTGGACCTGTTTTTCTCCTGTTTTCCATTTCAGTTTTATGCACAGTCAATTAAGAATATTCAGTTCACTTGGCTATGATCACAGTAAAGTGTATAGAAGATTTCAGTTGAATCTTGGGTTGATTAAACGATGGAAAACTTCTCAAGAAAAAGTTTTACTAGAAAACAGTAATCATATTTCCTTTTCAACAACAAAACCTCACTGGAATTTATTACGTAAGTCCTTTCTTACTTTCCTTTTTTAATTTAATGGGTTATTTCACGTGACGCATGTTTATGTGCCTGATATAAAGACAGACTGACTATTATTATCACTATTATTCCCACGGGTTCCAAGTGGAACACTAGGCTCTAACAGCATGTCTGTTATTTGCCGCCCTCTTCGTCTAGCCTCACAGTTGCCCAAAAGCATTCATCTACTCCTCTTTACATGATCTCCTTTGTGTCACCCAAGGCCGCCCACTCGGCCTTACCTTTCCTATTCTGATTTTAATATTCTCATCCGTGTTGGTCGCTTGTAGTTGGAAAATGTTGCCTAGATGAGTAGAGGAGGTGACCACTTTGAAATTTTTTCCGTAGTGATTGGTGCTTGTTGTTGTTAATAGTTGGTTATCTTCATCACCTCATTCTTCTCAATCTGTACTTGAAGTCCTGTGTTTGGCGTCTTTTCTACCAGTTTGTTGATTTTCGCCTCTAAGTTTCCGAATTTATGTAATATCTGACATAAATCTTTCGCGAAGTCCAGACCTTTTGGATTCCTCCACGATGTTTATCTCAATCGGTGCACAATTATTGTATAGTCACTAAGTTGGTTGAAAAGTTTTAGAGGTGAGTCAGAAATGAAGAAATATAAAAAAGGTTATTGAAGTATGGTGAAAATCATCATTTAGACATTTAGAAGACGAGAAGATCATTGGGTGAAGAAATATTTACTTTCCGATTGGATCCTCGTTAATAGCAGCCTTACAAGTTTTTCTTCTACACACCGTCGGAATCCTTCTGAAGAGAAGACAAACTCGTGTGTGTGTATGTTTAGAGGAAATTCTAACGAACGCTTACCTTGGTCAGCATTATGCCAATTTAAAAATTATTATTATTTTATTTATTGTATTCCTTTGCGTGCCGAGTAGAACATTGAGCCTTCAATTTTTGAGCTTTACAATTTCAGTGACAGTAATTTCATTCCTTTTTACTGGGTGGGGTTGCTAGCCTCACGCTCAACCTTTCCTCTTCACTGGACTTGCTCGCGGCTAATCGAGGTTTAGGAGTGCATTGGCCGGAAATCGTCCCGGACCACGTGGGTCGTTGGCGAACATGGGAAATTTGAATAAAGCGAGAACTAGTTTTTGCAGAATAAAGTGGTACCATCATTTATTTCGTTGCCTTCTCATCAGCTGTTTACAGGCCACGGTCATTATTAAGCATATCTGCAGAAACAATTTTAACATACTTGCACAGAGTTACATTTGAAACAAAATCAATCAGTCAATATATGCGTGTAGTATATATATGTATATATATATAAGCCTACATACACAACTTGGTACGGCCGAAGATTGGGTAGATTTTGGTCTTCCTCCCTGTCAGAATGCTGTCATGCAGCCACTCGTTCATAATCTCCATCAGGTAAGTTGTCTTTTCACTGTCTTCACACAGCGTGGCGGGTATTTCTCAAAAAAGTGAAAGGGCTAATTCTAAAGTCTGGCGATGCAACCGGACTGGTAAACAAGAAGGTCTACTGTCTATAGGAGCTGGAATATCCTGATTATTCAAACCTATGGTGCGTGCATGTACTCCAGAACCCGAACGGATCGAATTACGTATGAACCTGTCCATAGACGCCAGAAACCATGAAAACTCAGCATCTTCTCATTCTACTCCAACGCCTTTTGGATCAAACTTCAACTCAAAGGCACGACGTTGACACCTGCCTCCATCTTGTCAGTAACCAAGTCCTTGCCATGGTAACTGGATGTCTTTATTCTCTACTCTGATTACGTAATCTTTGTCTTTAACCTCACCCCTTTTTTTATAATCTGTAATATTGCTTGTCTCTTGTTTCTATGACGTGATTTGAACTCAGTACATCGTTACCAAATTTATTAGTTACTGATCATCTTACTCACCTCTCGTCTTTATTACGTAATTCCTTTACCATTGTATGCATACATTTATTTTGAATTGAACTGCCTGTGTAAAAACTATATAAGCACAATTTTCTGAACACTTTTCACTAATTGTGGAACTTTCTGTCAACTGACAACATGTAAAATTTGCAAGTATGTTAAAACTTTTCTGTACGTAAACCTCACAATTTATTTAGGCTGTAAGCAGCTGATGAGAAGCCGACGAAATAAACGATGGTACCATATTATTCTTCACAAACCACTGTTGTTCTTGCTCTATTTAAAAGTAACCAATATGTCATACGTGTAGTCTGAATCGACCACTGTATCAGTCGTGAAATTTCGCAATATAGTCATCAAAAAGTTTCTCTTTTACTTAACGGGACAATGTTTGCTCTTTTGTTTTTCTCCTCATTGTTTATAGATTCAGAATCTGCATATAATCCCCAGTTAGTTGAAAATCCTCAATTATGCAAAACATTATGGGATCGATTGAAAGTGTTTCAAGTGGATAGTACAGTAAGCAGCTCCTCTTAATTTCATTCGCTTTTATTCATTTTAAGTACAAGGATAGCATGAGAGCTCCAAGCTTCGATGCATCGAAGTTTCAGTAGCACTGGTGGTATTTTTATCTTTTTTGTACGCGCGACATTCCATCTTTTTCTTACAGGCTTACTATCGGTTAGCGGAGGTTTAGGAGTACATTGGCGACCGGTAATCTTACCCGGACGACTACGTGAATGGTTGCCCAGCATTCCGTCTTGACGGACGTCCGACACACACACACAAAAGTAGTTTCTGTTATCTTTTCTCAATCAGTGGTATAGTTAATATTGGGCTGATTATCTCATTAAATTTCCCACACAACTATCACCGAATGTGATCTGGTTGTTCAATCATGTGTAGAATTTTGCACAAAAGTGCATCAGTTCAAGTTGCCACACTCCATATACGCCACAAAAAGGTCGAGAAAAGGGATTCAAAAGAACTGCAATAAGCGGAAATGTACGGGATAAAGAAAGAATAGCAATATTGGAAGACATGAGGATTTAATGTGCCTACAAGAATTACAAAGAGTGAATGCATCTACACTGTTGACAAAGAGGATTTCGAACGATATCACACAAGCAGTTGTGTAGCTTCTAGTGTGCAGTACATGAAAAAATCAGTTCCGAAAAGTTGAGTTTAAACAAACATGCGATATCGACGAACTGTACTTTCATAGATATTAGGTGTTTGAGTTTGTTTCAAGAAACTAAAATATCACTATTCGCTTTGAATCAGCTGATTTTTGTGTTCATGGAGAATGCAGTTTTAGTAGATGTAGCAGATCACGCAGAGTGACTACATCTTCTTTATTGAGAATGATTTTGAGCCGTATCATCAACTATCTCTATCCATCATTGAATCTTAGAATCTCGATCACTCCAACCAGTCAGACAGTCTACACCTTACCTATGTGGCTGGCTGGCTGAAACCAACTGTAGGATATTTGATGGACTGATACCAGTCAAGTTTTCATCTGACCATCATCACTAGTGCTTTCCCAACCTGATCATATCTATGTCAGCTAACGTTGCTTGTCGACGAACGCGATAGCTAGGCATGCGTAAGAAATGAAAAAATTCGTCCATAATAGGTTAGATTCAAAGAGAAAACTATGTGTGTCAAATTGCAGTTCTAGGTATTATTACTAAACAGAGTCTAGAATGACAGTCAACTGTCTACCTTAACTTGATCGACTCTGAATGAAAGCGCCTTCGACAACGTTGACTGTGGGGGTAATTTGGCTACCACTTTATCACTACAGAATATAGTACTGTAAACATTTATAAATTTCATTCAACAACAGTGTGATGATGATACATGTTAAGTAATTCAAAATGGAAAGGTCACCGAAGCCTTTAAAGTGAAGGTTGGTGTAAGACAAGATCGTTTGATTGGTGATTAAGCATTAAAAGCCGTTACTATCATAATGTTGGAGAGTCTAGAGGTGAATTCCTTCTCATTATGAATGGGGATGGGACAACAGTAAAGTGTTTCCAATGAATGTCCAGCCAGCCTATGCTGCCATTTTACTCTGGGGAGGTTAAGGTGTTGTCAGTGTTCGACCTCAACAACTGTACATCTGAAATGACTTTGCAGTGATGCGTAACCCTAGTGTCAAGATCTTTATATCTATTCAACTCCGACAACCATCTCAGTTTGGTTGTGTTACCAGTCTGAAAAAGCTGTTACATAGTACTGGTGTTCTTACGGCTTCAGGTATTTTGCAGTAGAAATTAAGTTAAGTTCATTTCATTTTCTCCTTGGTTACTAGTGATTCTCTGGAAAGTGTCAAATTTTCATTTAAAAAAAGCATCTTGGGAGGAACTAAGTAATTCTTTTTTCTTCCTCTTATCTATTTACTTTGTCTTTACTACTAACTAGTCTGTGAGTAGTATTAGTGATAATCGAAAATCTGTCATTAGTATGATTCTACCTCCTCCAAATGTTACTGGTTCCCTACATGTCGGACATGCGCTTACATGCGCCATACAGGATGCAATTGCCCGGTGGTAAGTTGTATAATGTGTTGTATTCTTTTATTATTATTATTATTATTATACCCTTAGGTTCCTAGTGGAACACAAGGCTTCAGCTGCGTCACATCTACGTCTCATCCTGTTCTTTACACTCTTTAGCTGTCTCGACGATTGCCCATAAGTTTTCATCTGCCCCCTAACCCATAAGATCTCCTCCATGACACCCTCGGAAACAGACCCGACTCTTTATTTATCTTTCGGTTTCCACTCTAGAACGTGGCCGGCATGCCTAAAGTCACTCAGAGGTCTCCTTAGAGCGTGTGCCCAATTCATCCATTTCAATTATCTTCTGCATCTCTGTTGAGCATTAGGTTGATGCAAATCCTTTTTGCCCATCTGATCTTCAGTATGGAGCGAAAGATAGGTGTTAGTGAAAATCTACAGTAGCCTATTTCAAAATGTTTTTAGTAAGTCACTTTGAATCCTATGGGAGAACTGGCTATTGATTGTTGACATTAAAGTTGAATATCCATATCATTTTTCTCATATGTTGAGTAATATCATATAAATTTCCAAACACATTCCAGAGTAATAGGGGTCTGCTGGATCAAGCTACTGAAGTCCGAGAAGCAGTAGACTGAATTCCCTCTGAAGCACTGAAAACGGACCCAGAGACTGCGGCAGATGTCCTCACGCCATTACTGCAAAGGGTTTGGAATGAAGGAAAGATGCCTACCGATTGGAAGAAAGGCTGATTACCTTGTCAAGCTACCAAAAAAAGGGTGACTTAGGCCTCTGTAATAACTGGCGTGAGATAGTGCTCTCGTTCACGTCAAGTGAAACACTAAGTCGCATCATCCTGGAGAGAATAAAAGATGCAGTGGACGCAGAACTCCGCCCGGAACAAGGTGGAACCAGAAAAGCTTAGTCATATTCTGATCAAATTGTAACTCTAAGCATCGTGATCAAATACAGCCTAGTATAGAATGGCAGTCAAACGTCTACCTCGACTTCATCGACTTCGAGAAGGCCTTTGACAGACAGCGTTGATGGTACCGATAAGTAATTAGGGAACTCATTCAACACTACGGCACTCAGGGCCCAAGTCTTTATCGACCTCATTCAAAAGCTGGCTATTTGGTGGTGCCACGTGTCAGGTGATCCATAACGGAAAACTCAGTGGAGCCTTTTCAGTGAATACGGGAGTGAGACAAGCTGGCTGCTTATTATCACCGATGATATTCGTAATTGTGGTGGACTGGATCATGCGTCAGACTGTGAGTGAGGAGCAGGCAGACAGGAATACGCTGGACCACCGATAAGAAGAATCTAGAAGATCTGGATTTCGCGCGTGGATGATATATGTCTAATGTCACACAAACTCGAAGACTTACAGTTAGGTGAAAACCAACAAACTGGCAGAAGAGGCTGGCTGGTAGCGAAGACAGGACTCCGGGTGAACACGGAGAAGACGTAGGTGGTGAAAATAAGTAACCGAAAACAACAACAACCAGCACCAGCCACCATCGACAGGCAAGATTTAACAGAGGTTACCTCCTTTCCTTATCCAGCTAGGAAGCATCGTTTCCACCACAGGCACGCTGAACGGATGAAGATGTCAAAGCCAGCCAGCCAGCCAGCTAGATTTTGAAAGGAGAGATACGCAAGCCTTCATCAAACTAAGACCAGTTTTGAAATCTTCTGCTGTCACTCAGCCAGCAGAAAGAGCAAGATTCGGATTTTCAATACTAATGTGAAGTCGGTCAGTTCATCTATACGGGTCAGAAACTTGGCCAGCGTGTCACGGAAAGGATTTCCAACAAGTTGCAGACGTTTATCAACAGATGCCTTCGTATGCTCCATAGTGAGGATCAAATGGCCAGCCGGCTAGAAAGAATTAGTCACAAGAAACTGTGAGAACAAACAAACCAAGAGCCTAACGCTCAACAAATATGTGTAGGAGAAAATGGAGATGGATTGGGCATACATCGAAGAAACCATCGAATGATATCGGGCTCAGTGCAGACCGTTGCTCGAGTAGAATTTCAATGGGAAGCGACGAGTAGGTCATTGGTGCTAGGATGACATGGAAGAGATCTTGTGAGTTGGAGGAGGAAATGAGATATTATAGTCAATCGTGGACCCAGCTGAAGAGGACAGCAGAGAATAGAAGAAAGTGGAGATGTTTTGTTGAAGCCCTATGTTTCACTCGGAACCTAAGGGAATAGTAATATGACTTTCGCAGCCCGATCCTGACTGGCTTAGACATCCTCATCTTTGCCGCCACCTGTAGTTACAAGAGTGCTGTGTAGATAAGTGACTTCTTGTACTCTATTGTGGCTTATTGGCTGGCTCTTTAGCCACTTGACTTTTAGTGTCAATGATTCTTTAGGTTCCATTGGCTATGTATATAGCCGTAAACGCATAAAACTATATACTACTAATTGATTGAGATATACTACATACTACTCGCCTCAACCAGTAGTGTTTGCTACCCGCATCGAAGTGATTTTAATAATGGACGACCATTTCTCGCTTTCAGCGCCGAGATCATCAGTCAGTAGTGTAACCAGTGACTGATCTCAGACAGATCAGTTCAAATCGCTCGAATTCTGGCCAGCGCCATACTTCGGCAAACTGGTAACAGACAGAGAAGCAAATTAGTCAGTGTGCAAATTACATGGTTCATGGTTCCATTTGAAAAGGCAGAGTATGTAGATTAGGATTTTCAACACTGATATCAACTCAGTCAGTTTTTCTACATGGTTTAGAGGCTTGGCCTGTTAGCTAGTCTTTCAAACAGGCATTAGACCTTCTTCAACAGCTGACTTCTCTACAAAAGGGAACGCTTTCAGGCAACGAACCAACCAAGAACCTATCTTCTAACTAATATTCCGACGGAAATGGAAATGAATCAGACACACGCGACTGCTGAGTGACATCACACTCCAGGCCATCGCTCGAGTGGAACCCGAATCTGAAACGATGGGTCGGATGTCCAGCGATAACATAAATGAGATCGTGTGAAAAAGAATTTAGAGCTCATGAACAATAGTGGGGCCAGATAAAGAGGACTGTAGAGAAATGGATGAAATGGAGATGTACCGTTTATTCTAATCAGAAGCTAAAAGAATAATTATAATTATTATGACATTTTGTCCATTTGATATTATAAATGGGAAGTATGAAAGCAGTCGATATATCTCCATCATGGAATAATTTTATTTGGTAAAAAATCACAGTAAGAGATTCAGAATTCTTCACTGGCATCCTCATTTCGAGAAAAATGTATATCTGCTCATAATCATTTCAAGTTGCTGCCTCACATAACTTTCAAAATTCCTAGATGTGATTCTATTATTACAATATCGTTTGATTTTATTGGTAGTAGTGTATATTTCCCACGTATCTTTGGTGTCGACGTGCACACTCACAATTCCACTAGGGATCAAAGCACCCAGGAGCTTTAAGTTACGAGGCCAAGCTCGTTGATCATTCGACCGTTTGGGTGATAGTTCTGTGACTCATGAATTTTAACATCGTCAACTCATGACATAGCTCTACTGTCAATCAATGCCTTCGTAGGGCATCCACTTTATCTTGACATGGCGGAACCACCCATTGGTCACGACTTCTCATTAGTACAGCTTCAGGATACTTATCCACTGTTGACCGTTTATGAACTGAAGGTTGATATTCGATACTTAGTGGGATCATGGGTGTACACTTCTGGAGAGCCCCAAGCTAAGAAGAGACGGTTCTGCACTGCTGCCTGATTTTCGATGTTCTCTTACTGGTGTTGGGGCGTAACCAAGTCTGGAAATTGAAATGTATTCGTCTCTCCTGGTGATCGGTGGAGCAGTGAAGACAGGACTTCATCCAGGTAAACTCGGAGAAGACAAAAGTGATGAAGATGGCTAAGCAACCGCAAAAACAAGTATTAATTACTGTTGACTGAAGAAATCTTTCACTTACCTGAGCTGCCAGTCAAGCAGGGACCTTGATCATCTTAAAAACGCTTAAAACGTACAATTTTTCTTTTTATTCCTTTCATCTAAATTTTTTTCTTTCAGCTATAGAATGCATGGTAAAACAGTGGTATGGATACCGGGTATGGATCATGCTGGTATAGCAACTCAGTCAATAGTTGAACGTGATCTACTCAAGTCTTATCATCATCATCATAAACATAAAGAATCTGTCAACGCGACGGACTCATCATCATCATCAGTTATAAATCCAAGGCTATTATTAGGACGTGAGGCTTTTTTAAATCGTATATGGGATTGGAAAAATGAGTAAGAGATTCCAATGTTTCATTGTCGTGGACTATTATTATTATTATTTGCTATTGTTACCTTGGGTTCCGAGTAGAACATAGGGCTTCAGCAGTATACCTCCATTTCATCCTGTTTTCCTCAGTCCTTTTCAGCTGGCCCCATGATTGCCCATTAGCTCTGATCTCCTCACATGATCTTCTCCATGTCACCCTCCAAGTGACATGCAACTTATCTTTTCCCATCCGGGTTCTACCAGAGGGCCTGGCGCGCGAGTTAAGCCAACAGTTTACTCAGCATGTAACCGATCCATCTCCATTTCCTTCGAGATATTTGTTGAGCAATAGGTTCTTGACAGGTTCGTCCCAAGAATATCTTGTTACTAATTTTTTCTGGCCTGTCGGCCATCTGATCTTCAGAATGGAGCCAGCAAAGGGGGCAGCTGTTAGTAAGAGTCTGTATTAGCCTGTAGGAAATGATTTTCGTGAGGCCAACACCAAGTTTCTGACTCGTGTAGAAGAAATGACTGACTGATTTAATATTGGTGTTAAAAATTCGAATTTTAATGTTTGTGCTGAGGCGAAGTGTAGGAGATTTCAAAACTGATTTCAGAGTGATGAAGGTCTGTCTTGCCTTTCCTATTCTGATATTTGCATCCTCATCCGTGCCACCAACTGTAGTTCTAATAATGATGTCTAGATAAGTGACGGAAGTGGCCTCTTTGAAATTTTTTCCGTTGATAGCGATTGGTTGATTATTTTCATCACTTGTCTTCTCTTTGTACACTTGAAGTTACTAGCCTCTTCTGACGACTTGTTAGTTTTCGCCTGTAAATGTTTGAGTTTATGTGACATGAGACGTAAATCATCCGCGATATCCTGATCTTCTATAGTCCTCCTATCTGTCCAACGTATTTCTGTCTTCTCGCTCCCCACTTGCGGTGTTCCGCATAATCCTGTCCACCACAATTAAGAATATCATCGGTGATGTTACTCAAACATTCTCGTCCTACTCCTGTCCTCACTTCAAGCTTGCCAAATTTTTCGTTTTGGATCACTTGACATTTGGCGTTGTCATATAGCTCTGGTTGAATGAGGTTAATAAAGATTTAACGCACGCCATAGTGTTGAAGTGGACCACTGTTTGTCAAATGATTTATGTTATTTTCGTAAGATTATACGTATGTAGTATCCAACAGGTTGACATTTTGAATTGTTGGTTTGCAGTGGTTTCAAGTTAAGGAACCGTTGAATACCACTAGCAAGGAGTAATGAACAGCTATTTCGTCCTCCTAGGGAAAAATCATCTGTCCATCTATGGCGAAGTTACTAATCAGTCATACTTGCTGGTTAGCTAAAGTTTGGCAGGTAGTGCGACGATTTGTACCAGTACTGATTGGAGGTTGATGGCGTAAATCAGTCAATTGAAGCTTCATATTGGGTTTTTATACTACACAGCTTAGTAATACCAGGCTACAACTGTCAGTAATGGAAGAGGAAAAGGTGGTGGTTTTACTATTTAATAAAGTTAAGACTGTATGCACTTCATTGTTCTTATGCACAGTCATTGGAGTAAGTACTATCCAAGATTCTATCAGTCAAGTTTGCAACGTGATACACTAATCTAAGAGGACTTGTGTTTGTCGCTACATTTTGTATTAGTGTTATACGATAGTTGGAGACAATCGATCGGAAACCTGAATAACTCAGTGGTAGTACTACGGAAGTTGATGATGTGGGTTCGAATCTCAGGGGTTATATCAATTTCTTCCAGACTGGAAATACGTACACCTAACTGGCCAGTGAATGCCAACAAACAGTACACCAAGGTAGAAGGATTCCTGTTAGTCGCTTCCAGTCGTCTGCCATCATTGCACTGCACCTGGAATTCAAATGGGCAAATGATGTTTGTTTCTCCTTAGTGACCAACCAATGTATTCATCACACTTAATACGTAATTGAAACACCTTTTTAAAAAGTCTCCGCTTATCGATTCACCATCGTGAATTAATTTACAAATTGTGAATTGACACCATTTCTGCCAAGTAGCTTTTAGCACGTGCAAGTCATGATTTGTGTGCATGCACTGACAATGATAACCCGGTGGGTGCGTACCGATGAAGAGTCCCAAACTAGTACGAAACAGTTGTCCAGTAGTCCCAGGCTTTCTAATGGTTCTCTAGCCAATGTCAGCTCATGATGAAATCCTGTAATGATAACTTTATCGGATAGATCTTTGATTCGTTTGTTTACAGCTTCACTTTCTGAGGATCGCGACGAATCAGATTGCTTTGATTAATTATGACTTGAATCCTTGAGGTTTTGTGAGTTATCTATACCATGTATTTTGAACAATAAGATGTTGTCATCTTTATCGCGTTTGAATATGAATTTTGTCAATGTCAGTTTGGGGGATATTTTCAAGTGGTTAGTTGTTTATATTGTCTTATCTGGAGGTACAATTTTAGTCAAGTTAATCACAGTCCAGTAACACTTCTTGTTAACAGTAGAATTCGGATTGGGTTTGAACTAGTTCAGCTTTCTGGGCTGAGTCAGGCCGGGTACACCGTCGACTGATGTGCCCGACCCCGAACGAGTGAAACGGCCACCTGATGGTGTTTGGATCACTTTAATAGTCTGACTAGCTGGTGAACACTACTAATTGATTTGTGAATGATATCCAACTACTCATATTAATCAGTCAATCAACCAATCAGTGACATACAGTGCCTTGGATTTATGTTTCTTTCTTGGTTGCTATTTATGGTAATATCAAACTGATCATATGGTATGCGTTCTGCACAATTTCGGTTTCCAAAAGAAACTGTGATGAAATTTTACCCCTTGGAAATCTGTGTGGAAATTGCATATGGGGAATTTTACTCTATCCGTTCCTTTCTCGATGACACTTCACATCATGTAACACATTTTCTAGACCACAATTTGCATTTTTTAATTCCCTTGCCTTCCGAGTGGAACATAAGGCTTCAAAATTGAGCTTTGGAGTTTCAGTAGTAGTGGTTTTATTTTAACGATGTGGGGTTGCTAGCCTTATACCCAACTTTCTCTCTTCACATGGGCTTACAGCCGTCCAGAGCAGGTCATTGTGCGCGCTGGCTGAGAATCGAACCGCGGACCACGTACGTGCTTGGTGAATATTCTACTCTGAACCATCGGCGCACCTAGAGCATAAATACCAGTGGTATATTCGATTGGTTTTATGAATTCTCCGTGGAATATATAAACGTGATTGTACAACATCTTGGGCAGTTGACGGTCCCCTTTTGTTTTTATGCTTGAGGATATTAACAGTCTTAGAGTGTTTTCGAGCACTGGATAGGAAATAGCACAACAGATATTCCAGCTGCGTAAAATAGTGGATAAAACGCTTTTACAACAGGCAACTGTGACATCTGATGTGAATACAGCCACGTATTACAAAATTGAATAAAATGACCGAAACTGCCTAAAAAAGTTCCATTCGTAATTGACCCTTCTCTGCTCTGCTCTGCTCTATTCTCTCATGCAAGTGGTAGCGAAAAGGAGAGGAATACTGTCCTCATCAGTTTTTTTAAATAGTTTCTGCAACAACCTACTTATTTATGTAAAAGTAGTCTAATGCGTATATTTTTTGAAATATTTCTGCTTTTTATTTTACCAGACATGCTAAATTAATTCGTGAACAATTGGATAGTCTTGGTTTATGCTTAGATTGGAGTAGAGAATTCTTCACTTTAAGTTCTGTAAGTTTCGATTGTTTTTTGATAACCTAATTTTAGGCATTATCATTATCCCCTTGGATTCTGGATTAAACATAGGACCTTCAACCAAGACTCGTTTGCACTTCATTCTCTTCTGTGCAGTCCTGTTTAAGCTGGTTCCATGATCGCCTGTAAGCTTTCATCTCTTCTCCTAATCGACTTCTCCACTCGACCCTCTGACTCTTGTTCAACTCTTCGCTCACTTCCCATTCGAGTTCCACTTGAGTGATGTTTACCTGACACTGGATTTCTCTGACAATGTGTCTTCCTCAGTTTGTTTCCCAATCTGTCTCCACATAAGGCATTCTGAGAAGGAAAATATTATTGCGAAATGAGGCTGTGACACATGCTAATTGGAAATGGAAGACATGAAAAGCCTGGCTAGCTACTTTGATCATTATTATTATTATTTCCTTTAATTCCTAGAGGAACATAGGGCTTCAGCCATGCGTCTCCATTGCGTTCGGTTCTCTGCTGTAGTTTTCACCTGGCTCCAAGTCTGCCCACACGCTTTCAATTCCTCTTCACATGATCTCCTCCAGGTCACCCTTGGACGACCAACTCGTCGCTTCCCTTTCGGGTTCCACTCGAGGGCTTGTCTAGTGATGTCACTTGCTGGTTTCCTCAGAGTGTGTCCAATCCATCTCCATTTCTTCCTGCCTATTTGTTTCACGATCGGTTCCTGGTTGGTTCGCTCCCAGAGATCTTTGTTGCTGATCCTCTCCGGCCATTTGATCTTGAGTATTGAGCGAAGGCATTTGTTAATGAAGGTCTGTAGCTTGTTTGAGGTGCTCTTTGTGACACGCCAAGTCTCTGATCCGTATAGTAGTACTGACTTCACATTGGAGTTGAAAATCCGGATCTTATTTTTGACGCTGAATGCTGTTGACCTCCACATAGACTTGAGAGAAATGAAAACTTGTCTTGCTTTTCCGATTCTGGCTTTGATATCCTCGTCAGTTCCTCCTGTAGTTGAGACGATGCTTCCCAGGTAGGTGAAAGAAGTTGTTTCCTTCAGGTTCCTCCCATTTATGCTGATTGTTGTCGGTTGTTGCTGTTGATGTTGGCCAGGAATCTTCATTACCTCTGTTTTGTCTATGTTCACTTGAAGTCCTATCTTTGCTGCTTCTTCTGCCAATTTGTTGCTTTTCACTTGCATATCTTCCAGTTTGTGGGAAATCAGACATATATCATCGGCGAAATCCAAATCCTCCAAGGCTTTTGTGTCGGTCCATTTTATGCCTGTTCCCTCGTTGGTTGCCGTTGTCTGCCGCATTATCCAATCAACTGCAATCAGGAAGATCATTGGTGACAGTAGACAGCCTTGTCTCACTCCCGTCCTCACTTCGAAGGATTCCGTGAGCCTCCCGTTGTGGATTACTTGGCATGCAGCGTTGTCATACAGCTGTTGGATGAGATGTATAATTGTCGGCGGCACCCCGTAGTAGCGAAGTAGTTGCCAAATCACCTCTCGATCGACGCTGTCGAAGGCTTTCTCAAAATCGATGAAGTTGAGATAGAGAGGTGACTGCCATTCCAAACTTTGTTCAATGATAATCCGTAGGGTGGCGATTTGGTCAGTGCATGACTTGTTCCTCCTGAATCCGGCCTGTTCCGGACGAAGTTTTTCATCTAGGGTTTGTTTAATTCTCTCCAGGATGATGCGACATAGTATCTTGCTTGGAATGGACAGAAGCATTATTCCACGCCAGTTTTTACATTGACTCAAATCTCCTTTCTTTGGCAGTTTGAATAAGTATCCGTTCTTCCAATCCTCGGGTACTTTGCCCTCTTTCCACACCTTCTCTAGTAGTGGCGTCATCAAGTCCGCTGTTGTCTCTGGGTCTATTTTCAAAGCTTCTGCTGGGATTCCATCCGGTCCTGGCGCTTTCCCAGCTTTTAGCATCTTGATGGCATTCAGGACTTCGGATTTCGTCGGAGGGTCGATGTTCATTGGTAGTTCTGCTTCCGTTGTTGGTATTGTTGGACGCGTTGTAGGTGGCGGACGATTTAGAAGTCTTTTGAAGTGTTCAGCCCAGTGCTTCCTCTGTTCCACCTCTTTGGTGATTGACTTTCCATTGTCGTCCTTTATTGGCTTAATCTGTGTCGAACTTTTGCCCGAAAGGTGCCTAGTTGTTTGGTATAGTGTTGCGAGGTCTCCTTTGCCTGCAGCTTGTTCTGCTTCGTTTGCCATGGTTTCACAATATTTACTTTTGTCTTCCCTGGCACTTTTCTTCACTCTTTTGTTCAGTGCATTGTAGCTTGCATTCAACTCCTGTTTCTGTTGCTCGTCGGTGCACTGGATAATCTTTTGTTTCGCCCCCCTTCTCTCTTCTATTAGTTTCCAAGTGTCCGTAGAGAGCCACTGTTTGTCCTGTCTCTTTTTTCTGCCTAGGACTTCCATGCAGGTTTGACTCCACACCGTTTTCAATTTGTTCCAGTGCTTTTCGACGCTGACCTTTTCGTTGGTGTTGATTTGTGTCTCGGCTTTTTCCCTTATGTTTGCAGTGAAGATGTCCTTTGTAGCCTGGTCCTTCAGCTTTTGAGTGTTGAACTTGGCTTGTGGTCTATCTGCAGCTCCTGTTTCCCTGAAAGCTTTTAATTTGATTTGGATTGTCCCTTGTACGAGGTAGTGGTCTGAGCCAACGTCTGCTCCTCTTCTTGCTCTTGTGTCCAGTAGGCTGCGTCTCCGCTTCCTCGATATTGTGATAAAGTCAATTTGGTTTTTGGTTCGCCCGTCTGGTGACACCCATGTAACTTTGATCATAGATGTCTGCATTCTTTTTCCCGTGTTAGGTGGTATAATAGGGTGAGTACTGTTGAAGTTAGGCATCTAGTGTTAGGTAAGGAGAGAAATTCTATCATTGATGTTGTAAAGCTACATCGATTGAGATGGTTAGCTTGTTGCGCATGACTAGCCTTCACCCTCCCCTACCGGAAATACTATCTGCCGTATCTATTAAAGCCCTATTGTTACTATTTCTCCCCCCTCACATTTCTGCTTATAATCGTTCCTTCGAATCTCTTTTTTTCCTTTTGTCATCTTTTGTGTGCCTCATGGAGTGTGGAAACTTGAAGTGCTGCTGCAGTTGGTAAGCATTCCACCATTGAAACTGAACCGCTGACACCTTTGACAAATAACTGAGGAACAGTCATTGAATACTGATTTTGTGACTAGACTTTAGTAAATGCTTTTCAACGGATAATACTGGATTTCTTTTCAGATTAAGTATATATTCGGATTTTGGACGACTTAGGTTCTTTCCGACGACATTGGAACATTCCATTGGTTCCATCCAATATATATATATATATATATAATGTGTGAAGCAGAGAGTCCATAGAGTTTCATCGCTTTAATTGTAGACACAGGAATGTTCGATGTTTCAGATGTAAGGAAAAGGAAGGATGTGCTGTAGTTATAATTTGCTCTCGATAATTGCTTCCTGAAGCCTTTGAACTGTTAATTTTCACGATTTAATCACTCTTCGGTGGTTGCTTAATAAGTTAGATGGGTGTCAGGATATCTATTAGCCAGCAAAACTGATTGTATGCACCGTAGATCATCTATTAATGTATCGTTTGGGCAAAGTTTACATGGCGTTGAAGACTGGACAAATTATGCAGTGTTAAGCAGACAAACGTTAACTTACTCCTTACTACTGATAAGTAGTGTAAACTTTGACACAAATCTTTTTGGCGTTAGTTTATGAGTAAATGTTTACATTGCATCGTGAATATCATTTAGAGAATCACTGAAAGCCACAGCGTACTGAATATGTGTTTCGTTCTAGTTAAAGAGCATTCAGTCGTTTGCACTCAAGATTCTGCCAAGAATTCAACCTACGGCGTTCAGGTTGTGTGGTCGGCCCATTCACCATTCGAAATAATGCCACTGATTAGCATCTACTTCACCAGCTGAATCCTCCTGGCCATGAGTTCTCGTTACAACTTCAGGAGATCCACATATTAGTTGTCAGTAATTATCTAGAGAGTGTTAGCGCCCAGATTTTTTTGAGTTTAGTAAGGAATGTGATCAGTTTTAGTGTAGATCAACGGTAGCGGGATATCACAAAGTGGCTATTAGTTTCGAACACAGAAGCGAAATGGTTACTGGGTTATTCTTCTGGCTATAAGGTAGATTTATGAGTGGTGCATTGCTGAAGAGTCCTAAACTCGGAAGAAACAACTGTCCCATCTTGCTGGGTTTCTAATGATTCTGTAATTGATGTTGGTTTGTGACGAAATCTACAAATGTAATGATGTAAGGTGGGAGTCTCAAACTAGGACGAAACAGCTCTTCAGTACTCCTTGATGGTTTTCAGTGGTTCTCTAATTGATATTAATTGGTGAAAATCCTGAAGCAAGTCAAATTCCTACAAACTAACTCTTGAAAATTAAACTAATGCTCGCTAGTGACAGGTCAAATTTGCTTGGAGTTGTAGTGAAACGTAGTGACCAGTGGTGCACACCAAGTTGTTGGGAGTGAGGAAAAATACTCACCTTCTATAGCATTGGCTTGTGTCAGTTGCATTAAAATCACGAATTCGTAGAAGTTAGAATTCATGAGCTGGCCATTGAGTTGGTTCCTAGTGGCTGAATGGTCTACGAGCTTTCCTGCCAACCGGAATTTCGTGAATTCGGACCCCAGTGGGTGTGTGTAGTGCTGATAAGTCAGTTCAAGGCTAGTAAAAGTTATTATCACGGTAGATTCAAAGTGATCACAGTTTCCTTATGTACAAGCATTGGTAAAATGCAAACATCTTTCTTTTTGCTTGTTTACTGACAAGGGTAGATGAATTCATTAAATCCTACTTTATTAGCACTCATTTGTTGCTTGTTTTATTGTTTAACCAAAATTCATAAAGGAAACACTAATTGCCTTTAAAATCTAAATATCATCTAATACAGTATTGAGCACGAATTGAATTAAGTTAGGAATCCATTTGAAACCAGAGAGTATTGGGCAACCGTTCGGCACTCTTCAGCAGTACGCACGCATGAGCCCACTGTGGGCCTTTAGGCTACAAGATGAACCCCTTGACCATTCAACCGTTGTGATGCCCGATGTAACTAGCTCCACAAAAGCAGTTAAACTGTGGTACGAACGTACACACACAGTTGGAGGCAAAATTAAGTAAATCAATTATAATTATATTTCAATAGGTTACACACAATGATACATTTTTGATTTTTGGCAATATTTCGAGCAAAATTACTGCCTGTGATCACACCAACCACTGGAATTGTTTTGTGTAGCCTTATTTCTCGAAAGTAAGGTCGCAGTGATTGTGAACAGAAGTACAGTGTACCTACATTACTCTACTGCTTGTTTTTTTCAGAGAATTCTATAAAGGCGATGTGTTACTACTTCATTGATGTTATCACCCGGGCGATTGTAGTTTTGTGAACGAGAGCATCTTGGGAACTGTTGGCATACTGACACTCACCTTGGTGATAAATTTATATTTCTATGAATAAATTTATCTGGATAGCTTTTCTTACTGAGTTATTCTCTCACTATCTTAAGTTCTTAATTAAAAGGGTAGTTTGAATAGATTACTTCAGCTCTATCATTCTCAAACTCCACTAAATTGCGTTTATATGGATTTATTTCACAGGTACAAAACTCAAAAGTGAGTATACTAACCGGTTGTATACCATCCTATTTCCTGGTCAGAAATTTATTATAATTTGTAATTTGGAAAAAAAACAAGTCATTAGATAAATCCACATTTTTGTATTTTTTCTTTTTCTGCAGAGTCATTCAAAATGTGTTACAGAAGCGTTTCTGAAATTATACAATGCTGGATTGATTTATCGTGATGAAAGCTTTGTATCATGGTGTTGTCACCTTCAGACAGCTATTTCTGATATTGAAGTAAGTTTTGTTTATTTTCGTCGCTTGGTTTTATCATCGATTTGAGGAGTACGCAATTTTTTAGTCACTAGGTAGGTCCTTGGTTCGAATCTGAGGATTCATTTGGGAGGGGTAGTGTCTGCTTGGCGGTGAGGCACCTTGCTAGTCGTATATTCAGTGGACTCACCCACTAAATATGTGGGAAATCTTCTTCCTAATATCTGAATATATATCAAACAGATTCAGTTTCTTTTTATACTACTGGACAGTCATCTTTTGAAACATAGGCTTCGGTGGCTTGGACATGTACTCCTAATGCCATCCCAGAGGAGCTCCTATACTGCTTTCCCTTCGTTAGCCCTAAGAATGAGTCGAAAAAGAGGATAGGTAGGTGATCATTGTATGATGTGGCGTAGTGGGATGAAGGGTATTTGTGTAAGCTTGATAGGTTAAATCGCAAATTGACCAAGATAGAGACTATTGGACAGCTGTTTCCTCATAGTTTAGGAATCTCTATGTAGCTCAAACTAATTGGCAAAGATTTCTTGAACTGACGGCAAGTTTAGGTTTGACTATTATGAACTCCTTTCCATCCTATGTAACCTAACGTTGCATAAAAAATGTCCCAACCATCTTAATCGATGTAGCTTCACAGCATCATGGATTAACTTTGCCTCCTTATCTAAATAAGACTAGATGCTTAATCTCAATAATAATCAACCTATGATACCTCGTTACATGGTAGATAGAACGTAGACATCTATGATCTAAAACAGCTAGTTTTGTCATATCTCCCACTTCCAATGGCCATGTCTTGCTGCCATATAGAAGACAAGAGATAATTGGCATACAGTACAAACGTTCTCTGATCGATAGTCAGTCGGATGTCATGTTCATCCCAGAGCTGATGTAGATTGGTAAAGGCCACACTAGCCTTTTGTATCCATGATGTGATCTCATCAACGATCTGTCAGTCCATGAGGCCTGATGCAACTTCCCGAATAAGTGTATTGAACAACATACTCTACCACTGCCCTCTCTATCTTTGACTTAAAAGTCAATGTAGTTCAGCCCTGTATCATCATCTGACATTTAACAAGAGCCAATCAAACTTCAAACATCCGGAGATTTCTACTAAGATATTCAGAAGACTCTGCATTTTATCAGCATCTCCACTCACGAGGCCTATACTATCCACGTATTCTAAGTTAACAAGACTTTCCTCTGCTGGTAACAGTTTAATCCCAAATTCGCTGAATTCAGTTAGGGTGAGTCAATTCCATTGATACGTCTATGATGAAATCAAACAGAAATGGGGATAGTGAGAATCCCTGACGGCGATCATTGGTTGTCATCATCATTTCAGGTAAGAAGTCATGACCAGTGGAGTCGGGTGTGAGGATACATATTCGCTGATGTTGCGTATCATAAATTATCAGAAGTTTGAATTTATAAGGTGGATGATGAACCAGCCCTATTGGTAATCTGAAATCTGAAGATCCTGAGCGATTCGATTTCCATCGGTTAGGGTTCATGGGTGCGGAATGATGATGATGAGTCAGTTCCAAACTAGGAGGACAGAAGTGCTGTTTAGCACTCCAGTGCTGGTCCCTCAAATGATTTCATTTTGGGATTTAACTTAACTTTAGTGTTGGTTTTGGTCTGCATAGTAGTGTAATATTTTGTCCAATGGAAGGTACCAAATATTTGACATAATCTACAATCTGAAGAATGACAATTAATTTTTGGTATATCAGTATTCTATCGAAAGTCTTTTTGTAAATTTTTATTGCTGTAAGCTTGTATATATGTATTTTTTGTTCTGTTACAGGTAGAATCACGTGAACTATCTAGCTCTACATTTATAAATGTACCAGGTTGTAAAGAACCAATTGAATTTGGGATAATGGATTATTTCGCTTATCGGATAATTGATCCTCCAAATCGTTCGACATCATCACCTTCGCTGTCATCTTCATCGAAATATCGACAGTTTGATGCAAGGTAATTATTTCACTTTGTATGTTGTCAAAATAAATCGCGTTGCGAACTGCTTTGAGTTAGAGAGTCTATGGAGACTGAAGAAGCTCTGGACAGCTGCTTTGTTCCAGTTTGGGAGGTTTGGCAGTGTACCCTGATGACGCCGTCTGGGGGTCGGAAACTATTCTGTTATCTGTGTTTTAAGTGATTTGGTGACTATTTTTAGGTAGTGCAATGAAATCTACCAATGAAATCACAATGGACCTAGAATTCGAAATATTTGTCTATAAAAAGAGAGACATGTATTCTCATGATCACTATACAAGACGATAAGCTTGACTAATAGAGCATCTAAAATTCTCGGTCTAGTAATAATCCTAAGTTGTGCCTGGGAGAAATAAACCTGAGGAAATTAGGCAGGCTTTAGACCAAGAAGAGATTGTATTGATCATTTCTCCAAACTTTGCTAGATTATGGAACAAAGGCCTACTTACCAGTGTCCAACAATTGGGATATTTCTTTACCTGAAAACTACATTTCACTCCCTTAATAGGGATATCATGTTGCAATGTCTAGCCGTTAACGGAGTGCCGAGAATGTATGTCGCACAAATCGAAGCACTCTGTTTGAACTCGCTCCTCTGTGTAAGAGCTTACGTAGAGTTGTCATCTGCATTGTTGTCCGTTATACATGCTCACTGTCCCCATTTCTGTTTGATTTCATCATAGACGTATCAATGGAATTGACTCACCCTAACTGAATTCAGCGAATTTGGGATTAAACTGTTACCAGCAGAGAAAAGTCTTGTTAACTTAGAATACGTGGATAGTATAGGCCTCGTGAGTGGAGATGCTGATAAAATGCAGAGTCTTCTGAATATCTTAGTAGAAATCTCCGGATGTTTGAAGTTTGATTGGCTCTTGTTAAATGTCAGATGATGATACAGGACTGAACTACATTGACTTTTAAGTCAAAGATAGAGAGGGCAGTGGTAGAGTATGTTGTTCAATACACTTATTCGGGAAGTTGCATCAGCCCTAATGGACTGACAGATCGTTGATGAGATCACATCATGGATACAAAAGGCTAGTGTGACATTTGTCAACTTACGTAATCTCTGGCGTAGATATAATATCTGCGTATCGATCAAAGAACGTGTGTAATGCATAGCAGAAGTTCACTCTGTCCTTCTCTATAGCTGTGAGATATCTCTATTTGAATCGAGAGGTATGAAGAAGCTGATTGTCTTTTTCCACAGGTCTTGGGTGGTATACCATCATGAGGAATATTGAAGTTGGGTTTGGGGTGTTAAATGAGGAGACAAGTCAGTTGATGAAGTTATGATGCTGGAGGAATTGAGATTGCTATGGCGTTGTGATAGTATGTTATCCCATATCAGTTTATTTATTGGACATATCACAATTTAATTTTTACTGGAAGACGATGTTTCGAACAAAAATGATTATTGTTCATAATCATATCATATCATTTGTAAACATATACAACATGGAAACTTAATTTTTGATAGTATTTATCGTAAGGGTAGTAGTAGCAGTAGAATTTTTTGGATGTCCGAGTTAGCAGGTATGTTTAATTGTTCTTGTTGTGCAATTACTCTCCTCCCCACCCCCACCTTATTTGATTCGACAAATAAAGCTTTAGTTGTCAATCTCTCTTTCTACTCCGTTACATTACATTTTAGGATTGTCATCTTATATGTTCGGTTCACCTTAATTGCATGTAGATCTGTAGTCTTACAAATAAGGTTAATTCATCTAAAACTGACTGGGTGTTTATGCCACGCTAATTTAGTTGACCCCTACATACTATTTTGGTCTATGTATTAGACCTCACAGTCATTGTTTAACGGATCGATCCTTTCAAAGAAATGATTTGTTTCAAAGTGAGTTTTGTGTTGGGTTTAATTAATAATAATAGCTTTATTCTGAACAAGGTTTACGTAATGTACGGACTTTTCGGCGGATTTTATTACATGCTCATTTATCTTCGTCCAAGAGCTTTAAATAATGAGTTAATTGACATTGGATCGTGTGACATAGTTTTATCTAATCTGAAGCGCAAACCAACCTATCATTATGTGATATCCTTTCTTTTTCTCCTTCAAGAAATACACGACATTTTGGTTGGACGCCAGTTATAAAAAGTTCAGGAGTACGTTTTGCGAACCAAGTACACCATTGTGGAACGGTCATCTCATGTATTGGGATAATCTGCAATCCATCAAGGATAATGCTTTTTATTGTGTTTTGTAGAAACTAGCGAATCAGCAGGTTTTAAATGTTTTATATGCTCTCGAGAGTAGACAATACTATTTGAGATCATACTTTAATAGATTTAAACAAACGGAATAGGAGAAACTACATGCAATATTTAAATGAATGTCAGCAAATTTTATTCCTTCTACACATAAGGTTTCACAGGTTCCATCTTTAGAGGAAGCAGTACTACTGGAGTGTTCTCTAAATTCACTATTGTGTGTTGGTCTTTTAATTTTACAATTTGTTTTGTAATAGACCGAATGAAATTATCGTGGCTACAACTCGGTTAGAAACAATGCTTGCAGATGTAGCACTAGTTGTTCATCCTGAGGATGAACGTTATCAACATTTCATTGGTTGCCACGTTGAACATCCGTTTTGTTCCAATGGGCGACGAGTTCTTCCAATTATAGCTGATGGCGAATTTGTGAAACCTGAAATCGGAACTGGTAAGAAGTATATACGTGTGCATATTATTATCATTATTATTAATATTTAAAACAAGCAGCATTATCCCCAAAGGGATTGTGCTGCATCTATATTTTAGCCTAACCTAACACATTTACCCTTCATCTCATGTAACCATGTCATAGACTGATCAGAGCTAGGGAACAGCCAACTGTATGGGAACCTCTGGGATGGCATTCATAGCACATGTCCAAGTCACCGTAACTGGTGTTCCAATGAAAGACACTCTCCAGTGCGTCCAAACACATATTGTCGGACCTCAGAACTACTTAGGTGATGATACCAGCAGATGCGGAGTTGCCGTACATCTTGAGCTCGTCGAGAGGTTAGGTCTCAGAAGTGTGGAGTAAGACTTCACACACTAATGCATTGTAAACTCGATGTTATTATTTATTATTTTATTATTTTTATTTTGATTACAGCTTGATTCCACACCGTATTTTCAGTTTAACAATTAGACTGACATCCTGATGCCTGTAATAGTGATCCGCGTCGGTGCATACCTCATACGCTACAATGAAGTGTTTTCTACAACTATATAAATATATAATACTGTATTGATGTTTTCCTAACTATTTTCCACTTTTCACTAGGTGTCGTTAAACTTAGTCCAGGTCATAGTCCTGTAGATTTCGAATTAGCTAAACGACACAACTTGCCAGTGATTACTATATTCGATAACTCTGGTTGTATCATAAATACTGCTGATGAATTTGCAGTAAGTTCTTTTGAGTTTTTCTTCCTGTTTTGTTGTTGAAACGTATAACAATTTTTCGTACCTTCTGACTTATTTCAGTTTTGATTACGACTTGATCTCACAGTTAGAGAACAATTGAGAACTAGCAGGGAGTACTTCGTAGCTGTTTCACCTCCCTAGTTTGGAACTCAGGCTTTGAGACCTAGATTGTTCACTATTCAGCCCATGAATTCTAACTTCTGTCAATTTACGTTTTTAGTGCGACCGCCAAGTGATGTCACCGAGAGAGTAGAGACTGATCTCGCTGTATGTCACCAATTGGCAGAAGTTATAATTCATTAGCCTTTTGATTCCGGCTGAAGGATTTAAATGTCGTTTAGTGGTGGCGTACTGATGAATAGTCCCAAGCAAGGGTGAAACACCTGTCCATAACCCCTTAGTTTTATCAATCTGTGACCAAACTTGAAATAAATCAGATTCCTATAAGCTAACTGTTGAAAAGTTTTCAGATTTTTCGAATCTAATACAATGATCCTTTATCTGTGTGTTATCGTCACACACACTTAGTTTTGTCGGGGTAACTGACTACTGTCTTATCCTCTCATACATGGAGTACGGGCAATTCGTTTTGTTATATATAGTACGTCGTATAGCCAGATTCTTTTTAAATTTCATCTATAGGGATTACCTCGTTTTCAAGCACGTCAACGCCTCGTTGAACGTCTCTCTGAACTTGGTTTATATAAATACAGAAAAGATGTCAGTGTTGACGGAGGAGATTGTACCATCCTACCGATATGTTCACGTTCTGGTGATATCATTGAACCAATGATAAGAAAACAATGGTTTATAAAGACAAAAGATTTGGCGAAAGCTGCAATTGAAGTTAGTTTGATTGTTTTTCTCATTTTTTCTCAGTTTTGAGGGTATTTCTGTCCGCATTCGATTTGCATTTCCAAGTAGTATATTAATGCAGATATAAATATGGATATCATTTACAAGAATATCGAATAGTGGAAGAATAGAGTTAATAGTGAAGAGAAGAACTAGAAGATACTCGTGAAACAATGCAGAAAACATGAAAGGAAGATAAAGAAACACATGTGCATGTGCAAATCGTGATTCTGATGTATGTTAAACGTAGTTTGCCTATATCTATACATTGCTTTGCTAATAAATAATTCCATTGACACATAATCTTGTGTTGTCTCTGCCTTCGGACAATGAAGATCACATGACTTGGATTTTTCGAAGAAAAAGATATATGAAGATTCTTGAGGAACTTCGATGTTGTCATTGGTCTGGTTGGCCTCCAGTATCCGATGGCGAAAACGGTTGTGCTGGCGACGCTGTTGTGAGGCTGGGAGAAGGCGGTGTATAGCAGTGTGGAGCTAGCAGGTGGTGAGGAGACCTAGAAGGTATTAGTGGAAACATTGGTTGCAGGGTTTGACAGCCCGACAAACGGACAGAAGGCAGTACAGCCGTCCCATGTCATGAAACTGATGCCTTGTGCCATGTCAACTGTAGCAGAAACCTTGGATCGCCTACAGAGTGTAAATTTGTTTACAGTTCTCAAATTGCAGTCAGCATACCGGGAAATACCGATAAAACAAGATGACAAAGATAAGACAACATTCATCGTGGAGCAGAAACAATATCGGTTTAAACTCAGGCCGTTTGCATTGACAGGTGCATCATTTACATTCAATATTCCTGATACTGATATACATATTTATATATGCATCTACATACTACTTACAATTCTTGTCGGTATCATTTGCCACACTGGTAGCCTGACTCTTAACCTTCTCTTTTTTTCCTGGCTTACTTACTGGCTAATGAACTGGGCTGGATTCTAAGAGTGTGTCGTCTGAGGATCAAACCCAGATCGAATCTTTCTAGGGAACAGTTGTTTTGTTCTGATTCTTACCTCTTCAATAGTGCGAATTACAAATTGTAGGTATATATATATATATATATATTAAAATATATATGCGTTTCTGACAGAATTCACTGGTGTCATCAGAGTGACTTTACTTACGGTCATTACATCGTGGTATTGAGTAAATTGTATTATTTGTTTCTTGATTGGATCTATTGGGTTTCTGAAGCCGACAAAGTTTATCTCTGAGTGAGTTTGTCCTACTCAGGATACCTAATAAGACTGGAGTTTAGTTGGCAGTTAAATGAAGCAAGACTACTAAGCCAATCAAATAACATCACGTTTTACTTCAGACATCATCGAAGCTTCATTTCTTGGAGTTGTAACATGTTGAAGGAGATTGAGCATTTTTCTTCAGTGTGATCAATGAATTAACGGAAAGTACAAAGTATCCTAGGAAAATAACAAGTGATGTCTTGTAAAAGAAGTAGTGATTATCGTGGACTTCCTGTGGGAACACTATCACTCAATTGCAGGGAATTCAAGTACATCCAGTTGACATATCCCGAGTGGGACGAAATTCACATCTGTGACCGACTGACTGACTGAGTTTCAACTTAGAAGTTTGCACAGGTATGAAGCACTTAAAGTTGTCAAACTTCATATGGCATACAATAGCAGAGGAAAGGTAGAAAAAACAAATTCAAAATAACTGAATTCACGGAAATATCCGGGATAAAAAATAATTACAGTGAAAAATGCGAGGATCTAATAAATCTGGGAGAAGAGACAAAGATCCGATACATCTCTTCCATATGAGGACATTTTTGAGGAAAATCAAAAACATTTTCAAGACATTTGTTTCCAGCATTCTGGAGTCTTCAAACAGACGGCCTACACTTTGCCACGTGACTGGGTCAAAGCAACTGTTAAAGACTTCAGAAACTGATGCGAAGTTTTGGCCAGACCACCCGTAAGTCTCTTCCAACATGACCTTATACTGAACTACAATTTTTGTCGAGGAAGGTAAGGGCATGGTGTGCTTATCACCTCTTGTAGCTTCACAACCTGACCGACTGTCTGCCTCTCCCTCCCCAGCTAACACTGTACCCCTAATCTCAATATTATTACTCACTAAGGAGGATGGACGTGGTTGGTGAAAGACAGCTAGCTAGCCTTTTCGTATCTCGCACTTCCAGTGGCCATTATCTCACCCACAGTGACAAAACAGAAGGACAAAGCGAACTGCTGCTGTTGTGCACGTCTGTATGCACGTATTTTAATCGATATTCGGATATGATGACTGACAGAGGTGACGCTTTATTTGGCAAATATTACCCGAGACATTTGTATCCTTCATTGTCTGCTAGCCACCACTACTACTACTCCTCTGATTATAGTAATACTGTTCACACTTTGTATACTTATGGTTTTCGTTTTTAAGGCTGTTCAATCTGGTCAAATTGAAATGATTCCATCCTATCAGAAATTAGTCTGGTCAGAATGGTTGAATCCAGTGAACCATAAAGATTGGTGTATAAGTCGTCAATTATGGTGGGGCCATCCTATTCCAGCGTATAAAGTGAGTGCTTCCTTGAAGTTTTACTTTGTTCCTTTACTTTCTAAATTGGTTTTATATCTTTCAAGACGTTGAGTTGAAATAGGAAGGCTTGGCTATGCTGCCGAGATTTATACAACTTAAGTGAGAGCACACCAGAGACGAGATAGAAAGTAACGGTACATCAACACAATAATGTATGATTTCAAAAATCACCTGGGATATGTCAATTCGTTTGTAATCATGCTTGATAAAATAGTGGGCGTTCTTTTACATAGGCGAATTCTTATTGGTTTATTTCCAGACGCGAAATCGATCAGCATATCACTAGAGTATCCCTTTTTACAGAGCTTACTGTCGGCTAGCGAAAAAACAACGAAGCAAAATGTTTGGAGGTTGGTCAATGGGCCATCGAACCTTGACCTCGTGAGTGAAGATTGGCAAGCACCCACTGAACTGTCGAAGCGCTATCCAAATGAGTAGTTTGTTTTGATTTCGGCGACGTGAGTAAGCGTTGGGAACAATAAAGTCTGAATAAAATGTTAATAAATCCTTGCTGTTATGGGTTCTAAATCAGAGCAAGACATATCACTACTGGCCAGAATAGCCAGTTAGTAGACAAATTATTCTGTTTGATAATGAATTATGAGAAAGCGTCTTCTAATAAGCACTCCTTAATTCGGCCTCCATAAACGACCTGGTACAACTCAGAGAGAGAGAGAGAGAGAGTAGAATTCGCTGTTTTGCTCGAAATGCCCTGCCAGGTTGGTCCTATCCACTGCCTTCATGCGGCTGAAGAGGGTTGTTCCCCACAAAGTGGAAGGGAGAATGTGAATGTCTGGCGCTTAGTCCTGGACTGGTTGGTACGTATTGTAGTTTTACCTGGGCGAGCTGAAAAACCCTAGTCATTCCAAACCTATGATGTTTACGTGAATTCCAGAGCCTGATAGGTCCGGGAAACGATGGGAACTCAGCAGCTTCTAACGCCGGCTCCATTCCACTGTCTTGTAGATTAGATTTCAAGTCAAAGACCCCAGGCATGGCAGCCTCTTAAGACAACAACCACCTGCTTCGGTGTGAACATTCAAGTTGTGTAGCATCCCAGCATTCGTACAAACTATGAGACAGCAGTTAGTGTGGCACATCACTTGGTGCCCATGATGTTCCAAGTTTGTGTTTTAGTAATAATAAAAAACAAGGGTAAGAAATTAGGACTCCAGACAAATTCACCCTGTAATCTGCAGATCCTACACTAGTGAGTACTAGATTAATTTTCAACTTTTGCTCGTTTTCCGGGTTTCCGCAACTGGAATAATTTCAAGCTTGATTATGAACTAAAAGATCAGTTAGAAAAGCACTGGAAACCAACAGTATGAAGTACTGGACAGCTATTTAGTGCTAGCTTTGGACACCTTATCATCCAGATGGATCTAAGGGCTTCAACAGCAAATCTCCAATTCATTCGGTTCTCTGAAGTCCTCCACGATATCTCCATAAGCTTTCAATTCCCCCACCTTACACGCGGTCCTACCTCTCACTCTCGGACCAACGCCCAACACGTTGTTCACTTCCTATCTTGGTTCTACTTGACCGGTGGCTTATTGTGGCTCGTGGTTTCAATCAGCGGTCTTTTCAGAATGTTCATAAGTAAAAACACAGTTTTTGTTCAGCGAAGAAATTTCTTTTCAACGACTTCATTTTCAAGCTGTACAGTCGTATTTATATTACAGAAAAGGTCATTAAGTGGCACTTATTTAGTGCCACTTAATACCTTTTCTATTGTTTTCAGAATGTGTCCATTCGGTCCATCTCCATTTCCTTTGCCATATTTGTTGATTGGTGCTTATTCCCTCTGTCAGGCCGTATTGATTTTCATTATGGAGCCAGAAAAGTCAGCTGTTGATGATGAAAGAATGTTCTATTATTTTAGAAATGCTTTCAGTGACGCGTTGACTAAGTCTCTGAACTAATATAGAAGCGCTTACTGATCTGACATTAGTTTTGAAAATCTGTCTTGCTTTTCCGATCTTGATTACATTTGATTTCCATCGGTTGTAGTTGAAATGATTTTGGTTGGTTAGGTATCTCTTCATCACCTCTTTCTTCGTCTCTATATTCACCTTAAAAGTCCTGTTCTAGCCGCCAGCCTGCGCATCTTCTTTGAGTTTGCGTGATACGAGATATAAAATTAAAAAAATCTATGCAGGCATATACATATGCAGCTGAAGAGTGTCACAGGAGAAGATACACGTGTCCCAAATGTGTTCCACTGCTAGTAAATAAAGTTACATATCTCTACTTTTGTTTTCTTTCCATAACTTTAATGAGGAATAGTTTTTCCGCCCACCCTCCTCCCGTGCACGTTTTTTTAAAGGTTTTGTAAAATTAGGACAATTATTTATGTGGTAATTAATATATGTATATGCGTATGCATCAAAAAGAAAGTCTTTCATGTCGAACTTTACGGAATTCATTTTCATCAACGTTGAAGAATACAACACACACACACACACACAATTTCTGGGATAATTTTCTCTAATGAAGTGAACTCCAACTCCTTCGTGGATTGCTCTGTTTAGAAGAGATGAGAAAGACGTTTTATGTGCATGGGCTATGTGTGTGAGTATGTGGATGAGTGATTAAGTGAGTGAGTAAGTAGGTCAATACTAACCAACCTGGTTCACACATATTAACTAATTTGATTGTACGAATTTCTGTGAAATAATTTTAATCTTTTATTTTCCTCAAAATGAAATTTCAACTCCTCATTAATTTTAAATTAAATTAAGTTTGATTTTTTGAACTCAGTGAACCCCCTTTTGCTCCTAAAAAACGATTTTTCATCTAGGTACGTGGGAGGGGAGATTATAGGAGTCATGCTTCATTTCGTGTGATAGTTGGTAATAAATACTGTAATGACTAAAAACGGAAATGTTGTGGTCTGAAGGCCAAGCAACCGATCTGTGCGTTCTACTGTAAAGCCAGCAGACCACTACTTCCTTGAGTTATAGTCCCAGTTACAGAATGCTCCAGCTGACAGTAAAATGACAGTTATTTGCAATAAAATCTGCTCCACTATCTAACAATAACAACATATCGAAAACTCTAAATTACCTCAACGATACCGTTAGGCAGCTGCTATACAGATCAAATTAGATCTCAAATACATATCAAGTACTATACAACAGAATTATACAATCAGAATCAGCTGTATGAAGTACCTGAGAATCAAGTAGAATATGCAGATGAAGTTAACAGATGATATGCAAATGTCAGAACAATCATATACAGTCTAGGATAAAAAAGGATAATAATTACGAATTTTGTTGGAATGCCTGAATAAGAATCAATTTTTGTATCAATAGATCATTCATGGAGGGATGTCCCAAGCAGTTATTCTGTTACAAATACTACTTAGTTAGCCAGTTGCGCGTTCACAGGTGGAAGTCAGTATAAGTGGAATATGAGTTGAACCCAGAACCCATGTGATTCAAAGCGTCAGTGAACCACTTCTCCATAAGTCTTGGTTTCTTATGGAATGAGCTAACCGTCTGAGGACGACATGCAATAGATTCTTTGAGGAGAAGGAAGAAAAAAAGCTTGTGGTCAGTCGAGGCGCCGGCTAAAAAGCACCTGCAGAGAACAGGGGGAAGGGGAGATTTAACCCCAGATGTGAAGCCCTTTTTTCTGCTTGAAATCTAATCAACTACTCATAGTAGTGTATATAGTTAAACATCGGCATCATATTGGTTTTCACGTATATATTGATAAATTTGGTATACAGTTTCCGTGAGTAGAACGTTGGTAGATAGTGATTCAGTGTCAGGGAAGAGTGTGAGTTCATTCGGTAAGTTGATATATTGTATACAGTCTAAGAATTGGAAGGTATCACAAAGCGAATGGTGGCATATCTGTTTTCTTACACGTTCTAAAATATCAGCGAACCATTTCGACATTGAATGATATAGGGAACCTGATTTGTCTAAATTTGGACAAAGTGGGAGATCGGGTTTGTGTTTCTTTAGTTTACCTTATAGTCTTGGTATTATGGATTCTTTAGGTTGAATGTGATTATAAATTTCATGGTTGATTAACTGTTCGGTTTTCATATTCTTGAGAACATCAATGATCTGTATCTCAGTCTGTTCAGTTTTACTTCTTTCATTGGGCAGTTGAGAGAATTTATAATCACGAAATACTAGAAGTTTGAATGCATGGGCTATTGGGTCGGGTCCCATGGGTTGAATGGTCTACAAGCTGATCTTATAACCGGAATGTCCTGGTTGCCAATCCCGGCTGATGTGTATTGCTGAAGTGTGCCAAGGAACGATGACGAAACAGGTGTCTAGTACTCCATTGTCGGTTTTCCGATGGTTCTCTGACTAATGTCACGTGATCAAACCTGTAAATTTGTAGTTGTTTCAGATAGTAGTTCGAACTATATGCCTTGTTTTCATGTCATAAACATCTCAGTTTCTAATATTTGTGTTTTCAGATTTCATTATCCAATCAGATAACTGAGCGTGATGGAAATGAATTTTGGATAGTTGCTCGTTCCATGGATGAGGCTGTGCAGAGCATGAATAACTCAAAATATAAATCCTGTGAATATCAGATAACACCAGGTAATATTTTTACTCTTGTCGTTTGTTCATGTATTTTTTAAAAACAATGACTGCTCAAAGAAGTGTAAGCTTCCTGGTTGGGGTCCCCGGTGTGGTAGAAACCAATGGCAGGAAATCGTTCTCAATGGCAAAGATACACTCGCTCTTTTGATTGATCATATCCTATAAAATTATATTGTTCTTACATATTACTATTTCTTTTTCATTCACTCACACTTCTGTTAATTATCTGTCCTTTGAATCTCCCTTTACTCTCTTCCTTTACTTCTCTTTACTTTGTGTGCTACATGGAGTTTGGCAACTCGAACTGCTACACATCTGTGCAAAGTTCTATGTTGAAACTAGTTAGACAGTGAGTATGCTATTGTATGCATTTCGCCCTCGTTGGTCTTTCTCTTATTGAAATTCACTCTGTCCTCTGATGTGCAGAGAAAGAACCGCTGGGCTAATCACTTTACAGAAATCTTGATTTGTCCACTTCCACCACCAACAGCTTCAGAAACTACTGGTGAATACTGATTCTCTAACAAAAGCAGAAATGTTGAAGGACATGAAGTTACTGAAATTAAACTGAAAAGGCAGCAAGACCAGACGGAAGCACTGAAAAAGGAACCCAGAGTCCTTAGTGGGCATGCTCACATCACTGTTGCAGAATGTTTCGAACCAAGGAAGGATATCTACTGATTGGAAGAAGCACTATTCTATAAAATTACCGTAGAAGTGTTTCGTAGCACTTTATGAGAACTAGCGCGGAATCATGCTCCTGTCCACAAGCTAGATTCAGGAAAAGCTCTAGACGTCATCATCGAACACACCGTGGAGTAGTGGTCCCAACTGTTCACATTAACTTCATGGACTTTCTAAAGGCCGTCGACAGTGCTGTTCGTGAAGTAATTTGGGAAACTACTTCAACACTATGGTGTGTCCGAAACCGTGATTTTTGGCATCGTGAGGATCCCACGAAGGATAATTAGGACTTAATGGGTTTAGGTTACAAAGCAGTGAATATATCTGAGCAATGCCGCAAAAAGCTTCCAACCATTGGATCTTAAAGTCCTAAAAACCCCAGCCATTCAAACAGTCTACAGCTCTTTAAGTGGCTGGCTCAAACCGATAGTCAAAGTCTTCATTGACTGATGTCACATTATGATTTGATCAACCCGAAATTCTTTTCCAACCTAATCCTTTATCAACAGTTAACACTGCTCAAGAAGACAGGGTAGTGGCGTTTGGCGTGCGTAACATGTAGGGCCTAGCCACGTCTGAGTAGATGTTTTATTTCGAATAATAAGAACTTTCTTATTTTATCATATCTTCTTATTTTTGCTGTTATTTTTGTCATTGCTCTTTTTCAGATCCAGATGTTTTAGACACATGGTTCAGTTCTGCAATATTACCATTTTCTGTCTTTGGTTGGCCAGAAAAAGTAAGTCAAGTCGTAGGTTTTCTGAATTGAATTGTTTAGGGAGCATCAGTGGTTCAGTGGTGTAGAATTCCCACCAGATACCTACGTGGAAGGTCAGGGTTCGACTCCTGGCTGGCGATGCATTCCTAGAACTCAATTAACCGGTAGCAAACCCGAAGAAATGACGAAAGGTTACCTCGTCTAACTACCAAAGAGGGACGACTTAGGCCTCTTCATGAACTGGCGTGAAATCATGTTCTTGTCCACATCAAACAAGATATTAAGTCTTGAATAAAAGATGCACTGTGTGCAGAATGCCTCCCTGAAAATACTGGATCCAGGGACAGCAAATCATGTTCAGATTAAATTGCAACTCTATGCATCATCAGCTAACAGAGCACAGAATCGCAGTCAAATCTCTACCTCAACTTCACCAACTTTGTAAATTCCTTCGACAGAGTTGACTGCGAAGTTAGTTGGAAACTGCTGCAACACTATAGTTTGCCCCAAATCTATATCAACCTCATTCAACAGCCTTTTTCACCTTGATAGTGATGATCAGATGGCCGAACAGAATGAACAAGCAAGCAACAATGAACACTAGCAGTGAACAGACGAAGAAGCTATTGCCCAACAAATATAGGGATGGAAGTGAAGATGGGCTGGACGTGTGGACATACCAAAATGGCACTCGTAAGGGAAGTGAACGGCGAGTTAGACATAAGCCCCTTGAATAGCATGGAGGAAATCATTTTGGTAAGGAGAAATGAAAGCTTATAAGCGAACAAGGGCTAGCCAACTAGAAACGACTGCAAGAGAACAGAGTGAAATGGAGATGTGTCCCAGTTGAAGCCTTAAGTTCCATCCGGAACTCAACAGAATAATCATAATAATAATAGTAATCACCGTTCCTAGTGGAACATAGGGCTTTAAAAATATTTTGAAGTCTCAATAGTGTAAGTGTTTTAACCTTCTTCTTTTCCGAATATACTACCAGCTGGCTAGGTGTGCTGTGTAAAGAGTTCGTCTGCAGCTTGAAATCGAACCTGGACCACCACATGCGTTGCGACTGGTGAGTATTTTACGACTGAATCACTGACACCAACAATATTTTGACGCATCCTTAATGTGTTTCGTTTTTTTTAACTTTTAGACCAAGGAGTCATATTTCTATCCTTTACGTTTACTAGAAACTGGACAAGATATTCTCTTCTTTTGGGTCGCACGTATGGTTATGCTTGGGATATTTTTAACTGAACAAGTGCCTTTCAAAACTGTATGTGTTTTCGTTTTTATTTTGTGAAATAATATATTTATTGTCTGTTGTTGCGTGTATATATTTCCTGTAGCAAATTGGTTTAGAATTAGGTTTGTTGAGAAGGTACCAGTTATTCATTCGCCTGGAATTCCTCGCAGACCTAAATTTCATATTTCTTTTTTTTTGCGTGTGTGTAACTAGATCTACCCAAAGTCTGTCACTCAGAATTTAAATTGTGCAAATATTGATTGCCCATGCGCCAACTAATCAGATTTCAGCATATTAATAGACTCCAGAACGTTAGATAGATGACTAACCAATCAGATTTCAGCTCGTTGACAGACGCTTATTACTCGACTCACTATGGGCAGTATATAATTAGTTTTCTTGATACTTTTTATACGACTATTATCGATTGACTTTGTTGAATTAGTAGTGTCTACTTGTAACTTTAAAGTCTTGGAGCGCCACCAAACTCGTAGAGTTCTGAAGTAGTATAGTTCTGAGGCCAGTGGTTCGAGTCTTACAATAAACCTGAATTTTCACTTCATCCTTAAACATTACTCGTTACACCAGTAAAAGTCTAGCAGTCAAAGGGTTTCTAATTATTTACGAGACCGGTATGTTGAACATTCCACCACTGTTGTGTGATTCGATGACCCGTGAATTCTAGCTTCTATGAGTTCCCGATATAATGCTTCTGCTAACCAGTACCAATGTTATATTACATTTTCTTCGCTGATTATAGCCGAATCGGTGTTTAGATCACTTCGAACTGTCTGTTCTAGCAAACACTACTGGTGGTTATTTCGTGAGTGGTACCCAACTACTTATGTTAAGCAATCAGTAGTATATTGCATCACGCGCTTATGTTTCCTATCGTAATTGCCTTTTATGTACTACTGTCAAGCGCATAATATATATATATATAACGTAGAAATCCCTACAAATAATGAATATACGTGATGGCTAACTTAGTTTCGATATTTTCTATAAATCCACAAAAATTGGTTTGGAATTATCAGTTTTTACAGTTTCAGTTTGTCAATAGTTGAATAATGTAGAGCCATAATCGTTTCGCCCTCAATTCTTTCCATAGTGCTGATGTAGGCGCACTGCTTTAAAGAATTCTGTGAGTTCCAGACAGTGGGCCATGGATTTGAAACCCACTTCCATCTACTGAAGGCTACACAGCTGGGTAGGTAGTGTCACCAGCTCTCACACAGTATGTGTATTTACATTCGAAATCGTTCCCGATTAGTTGGTTACGCGTATGTTCTCGCTATAGTGTTCAGTGGTAATGTTTTTGATTGCTTGCAGTACTGGGTGACCAGAGTTCATATCTCTGAAGTTGAGATATGAGTTCCTTCAAGATTGAAGGTATGCCTTACTGAGGAGTTCTGTGACGGCCGGGAAACTTAGGTCTAAGGCTTCCTGCTGATCGCCTTCAATCATCTAACAAAATAGTCAAATCTCCCACAAGCTTAAACTGTTGAATAATCTTAATAAATATTAAAAGCGGTTTTTAAAAATTTTATTTTAGGTACTTTTACACGGTTTAGTGTGTGATTCAGCGGGTCAAAAAATGTCGAAAAGTAAAAATAATGTGATTAATCCATTGAAAATTATTCATGGAATCGGAAATCTTTCAAAGGTAAACGCTTATCTCATTTTATTGGCTATTTTTATTATTTTCTATGGGCAGTATTGAGGTTCTGTGTAGAGCCTTTCGATATGAAGGGAAAGTCAATGGATTGTGGTTATGAAGCGCTACATCAATTGAGATTGTGTAGGAAATGTTTTCGCATGTTAAGCCATTGAATTCCTCGTCAAGCAATGTAAGCTGTCCTAAGATTTGCCTCGAAATGAGTTAGGAGCGACCGAATCAAAATACTATGTCAGGTGGCATAATAGGGTGAGTAATATTGCGGCTAGGCGTCGAATGCTAAGTAAGGGAGCCAAAACAATCGACGACATTGTGAAGTTTCATCGATTCAGATGGTTAAGATATGTTTTACTCATGCCTGGCCACCGATCTCCTTCACTGACGGGAAATGTTAGCTGACAAAGCGTCAGATTGGAAAACAACTAGTTATGGTTAAACAAAAACCTGTCATAAGTCCATGAAATCCATGACAGTTAGTTTAAGCCACGAAGGGAGGTGTAAACTGGTTGGCTGTTTGGTGTCCTTGGGGATGGTAAGAACCAATGACGGCTGGAGACATTTGATGATGTGGCTCAAAATCGTTCTTGTTGGCTGGCGTAGATACATTCATTCTTTGTGATTTATAATATCCAATAAAACTATATTGTTCTTCCATATTACTATTCTTTTTCCCTCACTGACACTGCTGTTTATTAGTTGCCCTTTGAATCTCCCTATACTCTCTTTTCTTGCTTTGTATGATACACAGAGGGGGTTTGGCAACTTGAACCTCTGCACTTCTGTTAGAAGTTGTTCTATGTTGAAACCAGTCAGCTAGTCCATGAAGTCTTAGTTAGTTGGATCATGAAAAAAAAACACCATGGTATAGTGGATCTCGAAGACTATAAAGAGTGAATGCATCTGCAACATTGATAGTGATTTTGAGCCATATCATACCAACAGCCTCAGGTCATTAGTTTTGTAGCTTTTCGGGGAGCTTCCTCCAGCTCCAATCACTTAGTCTGTCTACACCTATCTACATTGCTAGCTATCTCAAACTAACTGTCAAAAACACTCATAGATTGATGATATATTTTTTGATCTGACCAACGCTCGCTTTCCTGGCTTATTAATTTTTAATAATAATAATAGCTTTATTCTGAAAAATATGCTTAAACACAATACAGAATTTTCAGCAAGTTTTATTCAAAGGCATTTACCCACTGTGCGTATTGTTCAATAAAATAATAATCGATAATACACGCCATCTGAAGCAATCTCGTTCCACCGTAAGCTTGTTCCAGTACCACTGTACAATGTGCTTCCTCCATTTCCTTCGGAAAATTCCCGGCGGTAGGTAGAAACCAATTTAAATTTGTTCGCAAGCACAGATTAAGTCTCCTTATGAGGTAATTAGATGATTAAAGCAGCAGTATGAAACTGAGTAAACACGGCGATTCTTGATGCATAAAAAGGAAATTCAGGTTGCCCATTGATTTAAGTACGCCACTGTTTTACTGGCTGTAATAAGCTAGACGAAGTACGTAGACGGAGAATCGAACGAACCTTGACCTCCAGCATGATAAGGAAAGATTAATGCAATACTTTCTCGCCATTTTATTCAAGTATCTGACTTTTGGTTCGAGACAATCGTGCTGTTTCGGATCTTTGAGACTCTAAGAACCAATAGTTGAAGATTGCTGACAGGATAACTCAAAATCATTGTCAATAGAACATATGTGTTCACTCTGGGAGATCCTATAACTCCTTATAAATTTCCATGTGCTTATTCTTTCTCCCATACATTTCAGGTCATTATAGTCTCTTTGTATGGTTTATGATGTGGGCTAATTTTAATTGGCACACTTCTATGCAAGAACAATATTAGTAACAATACCTTGTAGAAGGCTTGCGGGGAAAAGGGAAAATTGCCAGATTTTTACATTCAATTAATGATAGCCAAGGTGATGAAAAAAGTGACAGTAAGAATTTCCCAATGTTAACATAAGTTTTGGCTTCTTTTTATTTGGATTTCGTCGACTTCAGCCAGCTGCATGTAAAAGACGAACTGCTCGTGAGGTGAAATGAAGAATAACATTCAGAATACGACAGATAAATGCCTTTAAATGCTTGCCTTGTTAATTGACATCATCTTTATGCCTTCAGTATTCTACAACAGATGAGGGCTAAAACAAACAGTAGGAATGGAAGACATACGGCTAGAGCATTTTTTTTCTACTACTTGCTTAATCACTATGCACTTGAATAAATATTTTGGTTTTTTCATCATGTCTGTGTTTCGCCCCTCTCCCTCTCTGAGCTTTCTTTATTTGCGATTTGTCCTTTTCAACTGTAAGATGATATCGCAGGACTGAACTATATCGACTCCTAGGTCAAAGATGGGGAGCGAAGTGGTAGATTGTGTTGATTACCACTTCATTTATTGGGGAGGTTGCATCATCCCAAACAGACTGATCGCTGACGAATTCTCATCGCGGAAACAAAAGGAATCTGAGGCATTTGCCTTCTTACACCATCTCTGGCTTAAACGTGATATCTGGCTGTCTGTCGATCAAATGACACGTGTACTGTGCATCAGTTCGCCCTGTCCCCCATTTAAGACTGTGAAACATGGCGATTGGAAGCGGAAGACATGAAGAGCCTAACTAACCGTCTTTGATCATAGGTGTCTGTATTTTAGACGGTAAAATAGCTTGAGTAATCTTGAGGTTAGGCTACGAGTGTTAGGTAAGAATGGCAATTCAATCGGTGATGTTGTGCAGTAACGTTGTTTGAGGTGGCTAGAGCTTGTTACGCCTACTGAGCGATCGCCTTTCTCAACGAAGAATGCTATCTGACATTAGATCAGGTTCGAAAAGATTTAGAGGTGATTAAGTCGAAATCATTCCATGGAATCTCTAACAGATACTTCGACACACTTAGGAAGGTGCTGGCTTCCTGGTTAGGGTCCTTGACATTCCAAAAACCAATTGCTGGAGAAAACTGGTGATGTGGCTCTAAATCGTTCTCAGTCGCTCAGATTTATTCACTCTGTGTGATCTGCTATATCCGTTAAACCCCATTATTTTTCTATGTTACTATTCTTTCTCCTTCATATTTACCTTTAATATCGTTAATTTGAATCTCTTATTTCTCCCACTTGTCTTCCTTTGTGTGGCACTTTTAAGGAGTGTGGCAATGCGAACTGCTTTACTTCTGTGCGAAGTTGTTCTATGTTGAAACCAATTAGTCAGCTATTTGTTTATTTGTTTTTCGTGCCATTGATGGATTCACTTCTCCCCTACTTTATTCTCAGTTGGTTGAAGAAAGCTCGTAGAATTATTGTTAATATACTTATTTTCAAGTATCGGTTGCAGGGAGGGGTGGTTTGATTTATTTCACTTTTGATCATGAACTGACTGACTTCAGTGAAAAAGCCACTATTGTGGAGATCACCAACAGCAGGGAATACTGGATAACTATTCTTTGCGCCTTCTTCGTGACTCTTCGACAGTACGCACGCAACCATGAGCTCACCCAACGATAGTCGAACTCAGCACCTACCGTCAGGTTACAAGGCAAGGTCGTCTACTATTACAGTCCGTCCCTCTAGCTGAATGGTTCTCAACGAGACCCCCTTGTAACCTGAAGGTGGGCCCTAGTTGATTCAATTCCAAGTGGTGGGCTCATGGATGATGCCTACTGCTGAAGAGCCGCTCCAAACACAGAGAAGAAATTGCTATCCAGTGCGCTCCCTACTGATATATCGGTTTGTGATCAAACTTGGAATTATTATTATTAGTAGTAGTGGTATTTGAATTAATTTCTTTTTTATTTTATTTTCGAGTTTTAATTATTTATGAGTTGGGTTTGAGCAATAAAAGAGAAAACAGCGTCCGTCGTCCACCTTGATCAGGATTATAAATTTGTTTACATTGAGCTATTTTTAGTATTTCGATGATTAATGGCAAGTAATAATAATAATAGTAATAAAACAATGATTTCAACGAAGCAGATTCATTTCATTTTCATTTTTTTATTCCTTTACTTTCCTAGTGAAACATAGAGCTTCAAGCTAGAGGTTTGAAGTTTCTGTAGCAGTGGTGATTATTATTACAGGATGGGGTTGCTAGCCTCATGTCCAACCTTCCCTCCGTACCAGTCTTACTACTGGCTTAGGGAGGTAAAGGAATGCTTCGGCCGGGGATCGAACCCCGGACCACCTTCGTGGTCGGGGAGCACTCTACCACTGTGCCACCGACGCACAATTTCATTTTCAGAACTGTGCACAATCTTACTTTTTTGTACTGTTGTGTAATGTCACTGGACAGTCTCTTCAGTGAAATGGGCATCTGTTGATGAATGTCTGTAGTAGTCTGTTGGAAATACATTTTTGTGATGCAGGCTCCGAGTCCCTGAAGCACAAAAGAAGCACTGGTCGATTGACTGACTGACTTGACATTAGTGTTGAAAATTCAGCTCGTGTTTTCTTGTATTGAATGAATGCATTTTACTCCATACTGAATTTTCGATCCTCACTTCTACATATTCACCCGTGCTTTGTGTAGTTTAAATGATGCTGTCTAGATCAGGTTAGTCAAAGAGATGACTTCTGTCAGAGTTCCCCTGTTGATGGCGACTAATGGTTGTGGATGTTTTTGTTGTTGGTGATCACCTATCTTCATCACCCTATAGTTCGCTTGAAGTTCTGCCTTCCTCTTAGCCTAACTTATTGGTTTTTCACTTGTAGATTTCCTATATATGTGACGTAAATCGTGCGCAAAGTCCAAATCTTGTTGAGTCTAGTTCAGTGCATCTCTGACTCTTCGCTGCCCACTGTTTGCCGCATGATCCGGTCTACAACTATCAGGAATGTTATTGCCGATAGTAGCTAGCTTTGTCTTACTCCAGTATTCAATTCAGTCTTTTTGCTGAGCTTTGCGTGACAAATTACTTGACATGTGAAGTCATTACGCAATCCTCGAATGAGGTTTGCATTATTACACTCTGTAGTGTCGAATCAGTCTTCCAATTACTTCAAGGTCGACGTTGTTGAATGGTTTTTCAAACTGTCTTCTTATTATGCTATCCAAAATTTGAAGTTTGATCACGTGTTGATGTCAAGTAGAGAATTATTGAAAACTAGGGGGAAGTGTCTCCTCATAATTTGACACTTTAAGCAGTTAGCATCTACAACTCCACCGAGAGCGGAGTTCAGAACCTTCAGGCTACGAGGCCAAGCTCGTTGATTCATTCAGAGAAGTGTTTCTTTGATCGACATTAATTGGTGATCGAACTTGAAACAAATCAAATCCGTACAAACTCTAACTCTTAAAAATTGATATAGACGCTCACTGTTGACTGACCACAGTGTTCTAGTTAACAGTTGGGTCCTTTAAGTAGTCTAATGTGAGGAAAAATAATCTCCACCTATGATATTGGTTAGTGCTTGCGTCGAAATTGACAGAAGTTAGGGTTCACGGGTCGACCATGGAATTCCGTCTGAATTGGCTAAAGGGTTGTTAACGAGCTTTGGTTTGATAACCTAAAATTCCTGGCTTCGTTTCCTGGTGGGGTTTTAGGTGAATAATGCATCAAACTAGGTGGATGAAGCAACTGACCAGATCTCCCTGGTGGTTTGTAGTGGTTCTCTGCTTGACATCAGTTTGTGATGAAAACTTGAAACAAATCAGATCTCTGAAAATCAGCTCTTGATAATATCCGAAATTTGATGATTTAGCAAAAGACTACTGAAATACCCTACTCAGGTTTATCATCATGTTTCCTACCTCCTTTATTTTTTGTAATTTTGTTTTGTTTTGCGTTTCTTGTCAATTCTTATCTAGGAAACCGTTGGGTCGTCAATACAAGTTCTAGGTGCAGATGCTTTGCGCGCTGCACTGCTCACTTGTCAAATTCATCAACCGCACATTAAATTCGATGAGAATGTTGTGTTGGAAATGAGAAAATTTTGTAATAAGGTAAATAAAACTGTTTAATTTTTTGTAAATTTTGTATTTCCCTCTCACTGATTGACTGAATGGATGCATTGCACTGAAATGTTCGATATATCTGTGTTGACGTGTCAACTCTTTCCTAGTATGTGGATGTTTCAACGACGTATGGGGGGATGAATATATTGTTATTCGGTCGATGATGATTACTGTCTATATGGTCATTTCGTCAGTCCTAAATCGTCATCTGGATGTACCCGCACTCCCCAGTGAGTGATGGTGTTTCCCGTCCGAGACTCGAACGCAAGACCCAATGTTTCGAACACAGAAGTGTTATCCACTAGACTACTTGTGCCACCAGGGAAGCCTCTTGTACAACGGATCTAACTCGGCTCATGCGGCCTAGTGCATAACGCTTTGGCGTTTCAAACTATGGCTGCTCTGGCTAGGTTTGAATCTCAGTGGAATTTCTGGAGATGTAGGTACATGTACAGCTAACTGACGGGTTGCGAATAGAATGAAATGCGCATCGTGGATTCCACTGCCAGTCAGTCACCGTCTACCAAAATATCAAGTTGGATAAGCTGATTATTGAATAAGTAAATTCCTATTGAGACAGAACAAATTCTTAGGAAAGGTGTTGAGGAAAATTAGTAATGAAGTAGTACTTGGGCAATTGAAAGAAACTTTCCGTAGGGAATGGTTAGTTATCTCATACGCTGCATTGACGAATAAGATGCCTAAAAAGGGTTATATCTAAACTTAGAATGACATGAGTAGAGGGATGACATTGCGGGTTAAATCTGGGTGACAACATTATTGGTTCCATCCCATATATGACTTTGAGAATAGGTGAAAATCATTAGACAGTATTTCGCCCTTGTCCAGGACTTTTCAATAGATCCCACAAATGGGGATGGTATCAAGGACCCTCAGATCGGGCTTTATGTCGTGAATTGGCAGGGTCAGAGTTCATGCGTCGGCTACTGGATTCTTGCTCAGTAGCTAAATGCTCAGCTAGTTTGCCTCGTAACCTGCAGGTCTTCGGTTCGATCCGCGTCTGTGGGATGATAGGTGGAAGCTGCGGAAGAGTTACAGACAAGAATAACAAAGCTATCCAGTACTTCCCACAGGTTTTCAATGGTTTTCTAACAGATTTGTCAATTCATGATCAATCTTGAAGCCATTTTGTTTTCGTCTTATTTCACTTTGTATTATCACATTCTGATGTGTTATTTATTATATTTAATTAAAGACATTCCAATAATCTTAGTTTTCCCGCATCTTATTGCTGCTGAGTTCACAAATATTTATATATTTCCGAAATTTAATTAGCCTCCCTATCTCATCTATTTTGAATTCATGTCTATTGAACTTTGCGTGAATTTTGATGACCATTTCCTCATTATTCATTTATATTTCTAATCAAAATTCTTGTGATTTATAATAATCTTAACCAGTATTTTTGAAATTTAGATTTGAATTTTATTTCAAAGCAGATCACGAACTGACATCACATCTAGATCCATAGAGACCCGAGCGTGGATCTCGACAGGCGTTTCCTTCCAGTTCAGGACTGCTTAGAAATGTGTACCCATGACCCCGCCACTGGGGTTTGAACAAGGGACCTTCAGATTATGGGACCAATTCGTTAACTATTTTGCCACTGGGACTGAATCGACTTCCGGTGTTGGAAAATGACTGACTATAGGATGAAGTTACTTGACGTTCTAGTGTGAAGTCGTTTGACCAGTGGGGCCCACCAAGTCGTCGGTTGTGGCGATAAATGACTTGTTGATGACTGATTGGAAGTTGCCCCAGGTTATTATTGGATTTCGTCCCAAGTGATGAATGGTCAGCGAGTTCGCCTTGTAACCGCAACATTTTGAGTTAGATCCTCAGTGGCTGTAGCAAAAAAAGGGATTGAACAAACCGCTTTTCTGTATATACCGAGTTCAGGGTTTCCCATGTGCAACAAGATCTTCTGGTAGCTCTCGGAAACCCTTCTCATTAATGTGCCTTTTGAAAAATTTTAACTCTTAAGATGTCGAATGATGTGTGTATAAGAACAAAGTGCTATCATAAAAATTGAGCTATGTTGGTTCGTTGAATTTTCCTGCTCTATCGATAGGCAAATTGTTTATTTTCCTAGTTGTTCTTTTTGCCGTTATTTCATTTTTCCTTTTGTTTTAGATATGGCAGACGGCTAGATTTGTTTTAATTCAATTGGAGAAACAGAATCTTCTACAGTCAATTTCAGCAAGCCGTCATGAACCACTTGAATATCAATGGAATCAATATGTTGGAAGACTACATCATGAAAATGTTGGTTAAACATTCTTCTTATTTATTGAACACTATTTATGTTTGTTATCATTATTATTATTGATTCATTCATTGCACTTCGAGTGGAACTTAGAGCTTCAGTCAAGGTTCACCTCCATTCTACACAATTCGGTTACATCACTCTTCTATCTGGTTGGCTCTGTCACTGCTTACAGACTTCCATTTTGCTCTTCTTCATGTCAGTCTGGGACGCACGTCCAACTTGTTACTAAATTCCCATTTGGATTCTAGTGAAGCATCTGTCTGACCTGTGAAGTCGCCTCAGCATTTGTATCCAATCCATCCTTCTTTGCTTTCTTCTGCATATTTGATAGACGATAGATTCTTGGCTAGTTCGTTGCCTAGTAGAGTTTCTTGTCACTTATCCTTTCTGGCTGTGTCTGCAAAACATATAGGAAGCGATGTCCTGCATTTCCGTGCTGAACTACTCTCCATATTTCTTATTTTATTAGAGTCAACTAATCTAGATTTTGATAGGATGGGATCTATCAGACTAGCGCAGCACAATAACTTATTTGACTCTAATAAGATAAGAAATCTGGAGAATAGCTCAGCTATAGCACTACATGCAGTTACACGCAACTATACAACAGGATGGCTTAAGATGACAGTTTTGAAATCTAATATAAAAAGGTGATCGGAGGGGGCTTTATTCATTATTGAATCGACTGGGAGAGAGAATATATGTAATGGGAATGATTCAGCACCTATCCAATCTTGCCATCTGTAAAATTCTACTACCACCCCTATGAGGAATAGGAAGGAACAAAGAAAACTCTTAGACGAAAGTTCCTCAGTTGTGTAGTTATAATTGATGGTATGGTTATAAACCACAATAAATTGCGCTCAAAATGCGTTGTCATTCAGTACATAGCAATACTCTTTCACTGTGTGTGATATATCTAATAAAGAAATTAATATGGAACTACATACTACCACAGTGACCAAGTTTTACACATGCCTTAATCCGAGCTTATGTTTGCTGACATTACTTTTTGACAGACCACATCAATCAAGACAGTTTCTCCTCTACAGCTAACTCTCTATGCTTAATCTCAATATAACTGACTATATTGTACTGTCTCACACGGGAGATAGAATGTAAACACCCGCGGTAAAAAACGGCTAGCCACTCCATTTTATTCCATATTCAACGTCTGTATTTCACAGCTTCATAGAGGGACGAAGCGAACTACTGCCAGATATATTATATCTACTCCAGAGTTCACCTAACTTCCCAGACGCTAGACAGGCTTTTGAAGTATCTGATCTTAAATTTCGTCGGACGTCAAGTAGTGCATTAGAACTGATTCAACCGACCGAATATGTGAAGTTGTCAACCATTTCAACTTCAACCTGACCGTTTAGCAGATAGTACCATCTGCTCTTCACATATAGTTGTTGTTTTTTGTTTTATGATCTTGCTTTAGTGACTCAGTTATTGATTCTTTTAAATCCTCTGTTATAATTCTGTTTTTTCTTTCTTCAGAAACTGCGTCTATTTGATATATGGATTATCTATAAACTATATCGATTAACGGAATTAATCAATTCGACATGGATAGATATCAGTGATACTGATGGATGTGATCGTGTGAATGATGATCGCGACGATAGTGGTTTGAACAATGAAAATATGAAATGGTCTTTTCATCATGGTGTCATGGGTTTACATAATTGGTGGATCAATGATCTTTGTTCAATATACTTGGAAGTAGTTAAAAGGAGTGCAGGTATTCTCTTGATAAATTACATTATATACAGTTAGCAATAAATAAATATCTTATCTTCGGTGGTTCTGCAAGAGAATACTTGCATGAGGCTAGCAACCCCACCCTGTCCAAAATCATTAACGTCACTGAAACTTCAGGGCTCAAGGTTTGAATTCTTATGTTTCACTCGGAACACAAAGGAATTGAATTAGTGATAGTAATGGTTTAAAATTTGATAAGGGGAAGATTGTTATCAGATAATAAACAAGGTGATTGTACGTTTCCACTCTTGACAAGTGACAGGAAGGTGGAGACAAAGTAGAACTTTTCCAGTTGTTAAACTTTGACTTACTGTTTCTGTCTTTAAAGCAAGTGATTCCTTTGGAGAAGAAGGATGAGCTACCAATGCTGGCCACCTCATCAATGTGTTTCCATCACTTCACCTGCTCCTATGGAGCTATATATGTCGGCCGTACCTAGCTTTCGCTATCTAAACGTATCATCGAATATTTGCCCTCACAGTTTTACAGAGGTATAAAGAGATCCTCCTGCAGCTGTATTGTGGACACCTATTGGAACTCATAAACTAATTTCACAGCCACCATATACACAGTACGCCAAAAGTTTTCCAAATTGATTGTGAATCAAACTTCTTTGAATTGCTGAAGTTATTTCAGTCCTTGTGTTAAATCCTGAACGCGTCATACAAAAGAAGAAGTTTGTTTAGTCACTCAAGCTACTACAGACCTAACGTTTGATACTTGATTATTGTTAATCCTAATTTTTAATTTTATTGTTTTTATTTCCCCCTCCTCCCACGACTGATAAATGTTTACCCCTTCCGACACTGGTATCTTTACGTGACCCTTTTAGTTTCATTTGAGCCCTAGTCAATCCCATCAATTATGTTAATGAAGTCAATTAGCTGATTTTATTTTTATTCATGAATAATCCCCATCCATACATTCATGAAAGCCAAACAGGTAGTTGAGCGAAGAGACTCTTTTCGGTGAATTCATTTTCCCCTTTAGCTGTCCAACAACATTTATATACAACTCCTTTTTTCATGAAAGAGGGTAGTAACAAAAGTGATGAATTGTTGTCACAAACATAGTTGTTATTAAAAGTCAATGCATAAAAGGAGTTGAGTTGAATAAATGAATCAGAGTTACATAATAAGCCAAATAATTTAATGAACGAGTTGTAATTAGGATGCACCTAAAAACGAAAGAAACTATAAGACTATGTAAGGGTTCTAGAGAAGGAGAAGAGTTATAATGAGGTAGAAAAAAAGTCAATAGAAATTGACAACCAGGTTGTTACCATGGTAGTAGAAGTGGTTGAATCATTTTCTTTCGTGCGCATACCGATCTCCGGTTTTCTAACTGAATGTGTAGAGCTTCAGCAATGCAAAGGAGATGTAAGCGTCTTGCCTTTGGAAGGTTTTTCTTAAATTTTTAGAAGTGGGCGTTTGGTAAGATGGAACGACCTGTGTTGACAAAGTGTTCCATTATCGTACTCCTTATAGAAATACTACCGCCTTTGTGCAGCTATGCGGGACAGTGTTCTTGAACCATTTTAGACAGGATATATATATATATATGTGTATTCGTTTCTAGCATTCACCATCACTTCATTTTACTTTCAGAAAGGGAAGAGAGAAAGAAGCATGTTCATCGTCATTGATTGCGATTCAGATAACGTCTCGAGCTACAGATTGGAGTATTGTGATGTACTGACGAACGCTAATCTAAGACAGATATCCTTCATTCCATGGAGCCACGTCATAGACTTACCGCTTTCTTCATCTAGTCTTCTCAAGGCTACTAAAGAGCGATCGGTATGGGAGCCTCTGGGATAACATTCGTAACTCATGGCCAAGCCACCGAAGCTGGTGTTTCGAGATGACCGTATTCATCAATGATAGGTGATTTCCACAGTGTCTAATCAATAGGATATGTTTTAGTGCTATTAAATAATAATTTAGATATACACACATACATTTTATTCTCTTGGGTATTTTATATATTTTAATATTTTTTTTTGCGTTTTGCATATCCACTATTTAGATTCTTTGCCACTGAGCAGTAAGAATTCTTTACAGATACTTTATCTTTGTTTGATCACTGGAATTCGTCTACTCCACCCAATTATGCCATATTTAACTGAAGTTATATGGCATGGGATAAATATAAATATGGAGAGAACGGATCACGATTCTGGCCAGTTTTATACCCCTGAAAAATGCCTATTAATGGAGACATTTCCTAATATCCAATGGGTAGGTTGTCATGCGTTGCTTATAATTGTTATTATTATTTATCAATTGGGGTTCGCAGTGGAACATTAGGCTTCACTCGGGTCATATCTCTACTTCACCCTGGGTTCTCTGCGTTTATTTTTATTCAACTGACTCTAAGATTCCCCATAAACTTTCGGCCCCATCTCATAATTTCCTCCATGTCGAAATCACGGTTTCCCATTCAGGTCCCACCTGAGAGTTTGTCTCACATCTATGTTCTCCTTAGCTGGTATGTCTAACTCACCCGTTTTCATTCCCTTCGACATATTTGTTGGTTGGATGACAGGTTATCGGTTGGTTTTCTACCGGTTCATTCCCAAAGTACGCACTTGTGACTCCATCAGGATTCGAACCACCCATGCCCTTGAGGTTATAAGTTGGTCTCGCCAGTGGGATGCGGAGTTCAATGGTCCATCAGTTGCAAGTTCTGAGAATTCTTAGGATGACCACAGGATGACTTTGCCTAAAGATCTAGTAGTAAGTCGTGACCAAGGATGTCCATCAAGTTGGTTAGGAGGACAAATACTCACTGGTTATATTGACTGACTGTGGTATGAGATTTAACAAATTGGTAGACGTTGTAAACATCTACTGTACAGCCTGGAAATTTAATTACTCCAGAAATCTCCTGTCAACTGACTGACTGAGTTTCAAAATAGGATTTCGCGGGAAAATGCACCATTTCAATTCATCACAATCTATGTAACACAGTAAGTTAGGGAAAAGAAAGAAAAAAGAAATATGATATTCAAAAGGAATGAACAGGAATGTGCAGGAGAAACAATACTAACTTGGAAGCTTATGGGAGATTACATAAATACTGAATGCAATTACTGCTATTGAGAATAATGATTTTGAACCTTAGCACACCAACAATCTTCAGTTGTTGGTTCTTCACGTATAAACTTTGGAGACCCCAGCCAGCAAGGCGGTCCACACCACCACCCCTACGTGGGTTGACGACTTAATGAACTGATTGATTGCAGGTTTTTCGTTTGACCACCTTTAACTCTTTTTCAACCGCATTCTATGACAGCTACCATCGCTCGTTGGGCAGGAGGGTGATTCTGTATACATAATACATATCCGAGGTATTTCAGTCAATATAGCACTTCAAAATCCCATCTTCGCTGGACTTTCCCTTCTTATCTGACACTCTACACTTAACCTCATTATGACTCACCATATTATAACAGTTAACATGGGGGTAGAACTCAGCCTTCCTCTGTTGTGTCAAAATTCAAAGGAAAGGAAAAGGAGTTATCAGCGAAGACAGTCCTTAGTTTTTTCCCCCGAAGTCATCTTCCCAAGCTAATACATTTATGAATATGTAACAGAATGTTAGAAATTGTTCAGGATTATTTCTAGTTAGGGGTGAAATTACAGTAGGGAATAAAACTGAAATTATGCAATACTAGTAGGGCATAATCAACGGGTTGGGGTGTTGTTAATAGAAATTAAAATGCAGTTCTTATCTCCCATAGCAAGGATCACTTGAACTCACTTCAGCATGTCTGTAAATGGTTGGTGCGGTTCCGCCTTGTAACTTGAAGATTCTGGCTTCAATCCCTGACATAGGGGGGCATGGGTGCTGCATACTGATGAAGAGTCCTAATGACGGTGGATGAAACAGTTGTGCCGTACTCTATAGTGGTCTTCAATGGTTCTCTAAGTGATATGTACCAGTCAGTCCGTGATCAAACTTGAAATCAATCAAAAATCCCCACCCTCTGACCCACACACAAACTAACACTTGATAATAACTTTTTAATTTTTCTCTCTTTTCTTTTACAATTTTTGTAACCAACAGTTCAACTTTCTTCACGATCCTGAATCATCACCATCACACTCATTGGAAAGGATCAATGAAACGATGCATGAATTGATCACAGTAGCTACAAATGTTAACTCATGGCGTACACTACTCAAATCTATTAATGAGACTCCGCATTCAGAACAATCTAAAGGCGATGACAAGTTTCCAAGGATATATATGACTAAAATTAGTAATAATTCCATAATTACTCCCAATACTACTACAGATACTGAAGATGAATCGTCTGTATTAAAGGCACTCACAGGTATTCACTTGAGATCGGAAATATTATTGGATAGAAGCTCTGTGAGTGATTTTATTCATATACCAGTTTATGATAAATACAACAGTTGGCAGTTGTGTATAAATAAACGCGTAAGTAGCTTTTTTTGTGAAATGAAATCTGTCATATCACAGTTATATGATTTCTATTATTATTATTATTTTATTGGGTTAATTTCCGACTGGAACATGGGGTTTCAGTCGCAACATATCTCTTTATTTTGTCCTGTTCTCTGCAGTCCTGTGTAGAGTGTCCGAAAATTGGCGTTGGAGGCAATTGACAGGAAACCTTGGACCTTGGTTTCGTGCTAGTCGGCACTCGTCAACACGGCGTGTCTACAACTTTGAAGGAACTCATATCCCTTCTGAGATTCAAACCCCAGGGTCACGCAGTGCTGCTGTCAGAGACTTTACCACTGAATTATCCGAGCTCGTGGTTGACCTCCTGTGGATTGACAGTTTGATTGAATACTTCCTGACTAGTGCTGAATAGCCGATTGCCTCCAACCGTCTATTATCAACAATTCTAAAGTGCATCGTGCTGACCACATTGCAAACTTGACTGAAAGAATTATATCCTCACCAAAAAAAGGACTAGACGCATTACACTAGTTACTGACTAGTGTTTAATGAAAGGTTCAATGATTGCTAACTGTCGCGTGACGTTACCCAGTGCTCTCCTTAAAGCATATGTCTCATCTACCCATCTCTATTTCCTTATGCATATTTGTTTGATGGGTGATAGTTGATTGGTTGCATGTCAGAGTTCCTAGTTGCTTGCTTATCCTTTTTTCCTGACCATCTGATCCTCAATATCTAGTGAAGTCTGTTGGAAATGCCTTTTTTGTGGTTCATGAGCTATATCTCTGAATCATATAGAGAAGTACCAACTGACTTGATATCGATGTTGAAAATCCGAATCTTGTTCCTCATACTGAGTGAGTGCAATTGATCTCCGTACTGACTGGCCTTAACATCTTTATCGGTTCTGCCGCCTTTTGTTGAAAATATGCTGCTTGAATAAGTGAAGGAAATAATTTCCTTTAGGTTTTTCCCATGGATAGTGATTGATGCTTGTTGTTCGTTGTTTGATTGGTTAGGTATCTTCATCACCTCTGTCTTCTTTATTTTCACTTGAACAGTTCTTTCTTCGTTGGATTGCTTTCCTGATTGTTGTTTATCGTACACTAAGCAGATGGTATATATATATATATATATATATATATATATATATATATTGGGATAGACAAAGAAACCAAGTGTAGGTTGTTGGATTTGATAGGTGTATAAAACTGTAAAAGCAGCATGCGTTTACATAATAAAATTGCTTATCACATTCATGTTGATTTTGTCATTTCATGGGGGAGGGAGGTGTTGTAACCGGGCCCATCATTCCTACTCAGACTATTTGGCTCCCATTTGATATGAAGGGCTTCTGATATTAGACGTTCTTTGTGATTTCTGAAATGTTCCTGGATTATTTCAATATTGTCAACATTAATTTTGTGGCCCGATTCTACAGTGTGGCGTGTATACCGATGACTGATGATTTTTCAAGCTTTTCTAGTTCAGCTGGAGTTCTCAGTGGTTGAACAGATTTTTATTACTCGCGATGTTTGTCCTATGTATATCGCATCACATTCCAAGCATTTTAATTTGTCGACACAATTAGATTGAGAATCCTCTGGGTTGCTTTACACTGTGTTTGGTGTTTCGAAGAAAACTCTGATGTTGTGTTTATTGAATACTCTTCTGATATCGTCTGGCGTTTCCGATCTATACGGGATGATAGCTGTTGAGGTCCATATTTTCGGAATACGTTTTTGACCATATTTGACGTTGGTGTCGGTTTCAGCAATGAAGTCCTCTGAGTATTTATTTTTTCTTGAGAATTTCAGTAGTGTTTGATATTTCTTCTTCTTCTTTTTCCTTCTCATCCGTTAACATCTAATAGTATACCCGTCTAAGAAGACTTGAAATAGCTGAAACCTGTGCACTAAATAGCGAAGCGTTAGTGAAAACAATAACGTTTTGTCTTCATCCATTGGTGAATACAAAAACCCATATTGAGTCATTAGAAAAAGGCACAAACAGCGAAGAAAATACAAAAACGTTTATAATAGTGATGCCAATTTTAATAAAAAAATTTCACTGCTGTCTTGAGGCTTTTTAACACAATTTTATTCCATTATTAGGCATATGATCTTCATTGGACTAGAAGGGAATTACAAAATCGGATTGATAAATTGCGTCAACGCAAAGAAGAGCTGATTAAGAACACTTACAATAATAATTTGGGAAAAAAGAGAATTGGGAAAAAGGCCTCAACTGATTGTATAAATGAAGTTAACCAATCTAAAGTGAGTTGGGATTAATTGTTTGGGGTAGAGGTAGGGCTGAGGAATTTATCCTCTTTATCAATTATTATTATTTCATTATTATTATTATTTGTCTTGAAGGGGTCACCCCGCCCTTCGAGGTTTTAACTTGAAGTCTTATTCACATGGCAGCGCAGTGGAGCAGTATCATGAACTGCTACATCATGGTGTCCGGTGACCAGGGACAGGTAAATACAGTCGATTCGATTCTTTCGAAGTTTGCAGCCCATGTACACACACACACCGTAGGTTTGGAAGTAGTCAGGGTTTTCCGGCTCCCCTGTATGCCTACCAACCAATCCTGTTGTAAGCGTACCATACGCGTGTATTTGCGCTTTCACTTGTGTGTGGAGCACTCATCTTGCGTGAACCTTTTATCAATATTAATAAAAAGTAGAGGTGTGGCTCACTTAATGGTGGCTAGCACTTAATGGATCCTGAGTTCGATTACCACAGGGCCTACTTCAGCCTATGGGCAACTGGTAAGCACTCATACTACTTGAAAGCGGTCTCGATATCAATCAACCTTGTGATTCATGTCATTTAGATGTTTTGCTATAGATCAAGTTGTTAGTCTGCTGCCACCTGCGTTCAGTTTTGTTTCATAATGATTAGTTTTTGTATAAATAGTTTAGTGATACATTCTGAGACTTCGATTTTTAATTGATTCAGATTCAAATGATGCCATGGAGAGCATGAACTTCATGATGACTGATAATTTTTTTCAAAATATTAATCAAACGGAATTTTTTTGAGAGATGACGAAGTTCGTTGAAAACTGACGTTAGCTAAAAAGAATTCCGATGACCCTGTGCAAACATTTCTTCTCCGTATTGGACTCTTCAATATGACTCGTGATGTACCCCACTAGGGATTAAACCCTGGACACTTTCTAATCGTGAGATGGAGTTTAAGAGTGTGGACTTTTCGAAGACAGTCTGCTGTCAAGTGTGCTGATTGGTTTCTCAACGTTTTTTGTGTGTGTTGAGTTTAGCTGAGTCTTCAGAAACACGAATAAGGTTGATAATAATGCGAAAGCTTGATAATTAATTTCCTGGTAGATTTTCCGTGACCACTTACCTGGTAATTCCCAGAAAGAAATCTGTATTTCCAAAACGAACGGGTCCTTCAAAAACGTGTCACAAAAACTAATTATATGCCGTGTAACATTGGGCCGATTATTGAGCGTCTGTCGACTTCCTGAAATCTGATTGGCTAATTGTCTGATCAACGTTTGGGCCTCTGTCAACGCGGTGGGAGCTGAGTGGTTGTTAACTAACCAGTATGTAGATGCCTATCAATGGATGAGACTTGATTGCTTGAATATCTGACTAACACTTAGGAAATCAGCATTTTTGGACAGTTTAAATTTTGACTAACAGACTATCAATCGATCTAGTTAGTCTGTGGTTGAACGCATGGTACAGACTGAGCGTCGATTCGCTGACGAAATAATTCATCTACACTGAAATTTTATTCGTGATTTTTCTTTCTTTGTAGATTGAGGCGATTGAAAGGAAACAGGAAAAGCTGCAATATCAGTTTTCATTACTGAAATAAAGTGTTTGCGTGGTGCAGTACGATTTAATCTGGTGTTGTGTTGTGTAGTATTGCTTGCTGTAGTGTAGAGGAAACAGAAGGGGAATTGTGTAAAAAAGAAACATGGTGACATCAGTCCCCATTTTGTATTTTTAATACTTTATGTGACATGTACATGTATTTATCTAATAAATCAACTTTTCTTAAATTTCATATGGGTCGCTGCTTTTTGGTGACTTACTAAGTTGTTTAACCATATAAAAGTATTAAATTGAGATAAGTTTTGAAAACTTGTCCTTTATGCTGAGTGCAATGGATTTCTACACTGATTTAAGAGTAATGAAGGTTTGTCTTACTTTTCCGAACTGATCCTAGTTGGCTTTAACATCTTCATTCTTGCGGGCTTTAGTCGAAACAATGCTTAGTAGATAAGTGAAAGATGCACAACCTTATCGACTGATTTCCGCTCATTACTCAAAACTGTATGCTTAAAGCCATTATTAAGAAATACCGCTTTAGCAATCAGTTTGGTATATTTTTAGATGAACTCGGTAATTACATAGTAGGTTACATCATGAACAACCAGGTAGTGGCAAAAGAATTTTTGTAAGACAGGAGATATTAAATAGCTGTTCACTTTTTAGTTCTGAGTCACTTCAGTAGTCTGAACTCATTCATCTTTTTATGATCAATAACAAGACTGGCAGACCCCATTAGGCTATACTGATTGGTATAATTTATTTGGTTACTACTCACACATCAACATAAGATTTAATACCGTCTTCGAAATGTAAGTTAGAAGGATTAAACAGTACCATTGTTGACTGTTGTCGCCGGTACTATAATGCCATGTTTGAAATGAAAGGCATATTAACGAAAAAACATAGAGAATGCATTAGAAAGCTAAAGTCGGATCACAGTATTATAATCACTTATCCTGACAATGGTTCAGGTATACTCATCATGAACAAATGTGACTATATCGAAAAGAGGAGTGTTTTACTGGCACATCGTCCCAAGTTTCGAAAGTTGCGTAGTAGTAAAGATTCGGATGAAGCTATGGAACTCCAGTTTATTGAGACTTTGAAGTCTTTAAGAGGTGAAAATCTTGTTGATACTTTTATATTCGTTACTGTTAAACCCCTCTGAACTCATACACAAAGGTTTTATGGTGTGTCGAAGATCCATAAGCAGGAAGCACCTCTACGTCCCGTTGTAGGTATGTTGAATTCGTCATTTCATTTAACCGCTAAATGGCGTGTAAATTTACTGGAGCCGATACATTGAAGATTAGTTACATATAATGTAAAAGATGTCTTTACTTTTGTTGACAATAATACAGTTATGAACTTAGTGGACTAAATTATGTTATCGTTGGACGTAACGTCATTATTCACCAATGTTTCCCTTGTTGAAACAGTGAACTATATACGAGAGCAGGTTTTAGGAAATAGAACAGATATTGGGATCATACCTGTGGGATTAAAGCAATTATTGTTAAAATGTACTATGAATATTCATTTTGTATTCAACGAGAAGTTTCACCGTCAAATAGTTGGAGTTGCTATGGCTCTTCCCAGGTCACTCATTAGCTGACATCTTCTTAGCTAAATTAAAAAATGGTCCTCTAGGAGAGGTATTAAACGAACTTGAATATGGTTTCTGTTATGCAAATGATACATTCATCGTTTTTGACAATAATATGGATAAACAAAATCTGATGCAAGTCTTTAATAATGTACACTTGGCAATTAAATTCACGTCTAAATCAGAATATCAAGGTAGCATACCCTTTTGGGAAGTTCTTACTAAAAGGTTAGGTAGCACATTAGAGCGAAATATCTATAGAAAAGTAACGCGGAATGGACAACATATCCATACAATATAAGCAGAATTTAATTGGGTGTCTTAGTCATAGAATCAGACTCATGTGTACCAAGGATTGTATTGAAGATGAAATTGAAGATATTAAAAGGACCTTACTGCAAACTGGTTATCTCAACGATTTTGCAAAGAAGTATATTTCTAAAACAACTGGTAAAATTAAACTGGTCATGGTGGCTATGACAATGCTTTATTTAAGGCTGCAGTTCAAAGGCGACAAATCCAGTGACACACTGAACCGTAGGTTTATCAGATCTATTGAAAGAACTATCCATGCTGCAGAACTACACATCAGTTCCTCAACAAAACCTGTACTGACACTATGCATCAGAGATTAATTGCCAAAGATAGCCAAATCAATGTGTGGATACAAATTCAACCTATTTTTGGGAGTCATAAATCCTTCCTCTAATTTCTTTGTATAGCATATTCTCCTAGCTCTTTAGTACAGAATCTTGACTAGTGTTCGTTTAAAACTGTCTGGACCAAAACTATTAAAATGTAGTTATTATCCATTCCAAGTAGGATTTCAGTCAATTGACATCTTGAGACTACCATATCCTAGGCGTTGCATGGCAATGTCATGGAAATGGAACTTTCCATCTTTTTCATGTTCCATAGTAAATTCAATATTTGTATGTGGATCGTTAAATAATCCGATTAGGTAGGAAGCATGAATTTCATTGTTGCATACTACAAATCTGTTATCGACAGTAAGAAGTTGTTCCGTCGATTGCATGCTTCAACTTTGTTTTTCAAGGTTGGACATGAAGATATCAGCTAAAACAGGACTGAGTGGACTGCCAATTGCTACATCACCTATTTATTATTGATTGGTATAATATGAAAGTTGTAGGTTAGCAAGTGAAGTGAGACAGAGAGCTATAGGTGAATGGTTCAGAAGTAGTAAAGTAATTTGAATCACAAATACGAAGAAATACTATACAGGAATTGAAGAATACATGTCAGTCATCGGGGATTTAATAACCTCACTTCAAATGATACACGGTTAGTTTGCGAGCTAATGTATGCAATATAAATTTTCAACAGAGGTTAGAGGTTGTTTATTGTTAGTTAGTAACAAAGATGGCTTTGTTATACAGTTTTACAGAGGTAGAATGCCAACCAACAATGCAAGTGGGCTGGTTTCAATTACTATCTGATTGAGATGATCAGTTGTATGTCGCTCATATTAATCTGCAGTGCTTTCTAACCTGATCAAGGTGATCTAAACACAGGACGACGGGTTTGCTCGTTTGGGGTCGAGCTTAGCAATGGTGCACCTGGTTCGACTCATGCCAGGGGGACTAATCAGTTCACGCCACTTGATTTATGCCCAGCTACTTAGACAAACTGCTCATGCCACAAATCACATTCACAATTTGAAATTTACACAGTTTGAGTACCACTGATAAGCTAAGTCCCAAATGAGCAAAACGACCGCCTAGTGTTTAAGTCATCTTGATCTGGTTGACTAGCAGGCACCACCGGTTGATATGATTGGTAAACAAACTACTCATCTCAGTCAATCAGCAGTATATAGTTTTATGCAAATAAACTGTTGACATTGAAGAGTCACGAAGGATCCAGTGACCTTAGAAATAGCCACTGCTCTAAGAAGTAAATTTGGTCCTCTAACTCAGTCCTAAGCGTACTGATGAAAAGTTCCAAACTAGGACGAAACAGCTATCCAATACTACTAGGTTTTCCAATGGTTCCCTAACTGATGTCAGCTCATAATGAAATCCTCCTACCAGTCGTAAGCCTAATCTTTCCTTATACTAACCCTTATCCATCCTTAATATATGTCTGACTAATCTATCCTAGCCAACCCTAGTATCTCCGTATTTAGGTTAACCTAAAGCCTATCTTTCCTAAGCTAAAACCTAACCTTAATCTTTTATAAAATCTAGTCTACAACTAATCAGATATCCGTAAGAATTTATCCCATGATTGCTGAAAATTACAAAAACACGGAAAAAGATGAACCTATTCTCCTAAAAAACCCAAGCAGAAGACGCCCTAATTTGGGGACGGATGATGTTGGGTAGGTGAAAGCCTTCAAGCAGTGAGTCATCCTTTGTGTCCAATTCCAGTGAAGGCAGTGAATGTCCGCAACAAGTTAGAGAATAACAATACTGATAAGATTACATAAGAAATGAGAAGATAAGATTGGGGATGGGCTGTCTTCATGAAATATGTCTTCTCGATGTTTACTTAAATTCCTGTTATCGCTGCCTCCACCTTCTCCCAACTTGTCCATGGTTTTCGTCTATAGATGTTCGAGTTTGTGTGACATAAGGCATAAATCATCCGTACTAGCTATAGATCATTTAGAGTCTTTTTTCAGTCTAGTGCTTGTCCATCTGCTTGTTCCCCACGGTGTATTGCATGGTACAGTCAAACACAGTCGTCAATGTCATCGTTGGTGAAAGTAGCCGACCTTGCCTTATTTGAATTAATTCGTTGAACTTTTCATTGCTAATCAACCACTAAGCGTATGAGCTTATCATATAGCCGACGTGTATAAAGGTCTGAAGCACTGAAGAAAAATGTTGTCTTGATTTTTGTTTAAACAGGTTGGGATTACTTTAAATAAATTCATAATGATTCAGTCTGACTCGGCGCTCAAATTATTCCAAGAAATCCGTAACATCTATGGTCTGGATGTTTATAATCATCTGTAGATAGTTGAATTTAATGAGCATATGACATTATAAAAATGGCACTTGCTTACTTAATGAAACCTCATGTCACGTTTGTGTTGATTCAGTCACTTCATGGGGAGAGGGTGGATTATTGGAACCAGGTCAAATTCTGTCATTCCCAATCAAACAACTTATATTCTACTTAGTATGAAACGCTTCAAATATGAGGAGTTGTCTGTGTAGTTTCTGAAATCTTTTCGGATGATTTCAGTATTTTGACGTTATGCACAAGCTTTTCTAGTTCCGTTATCTAAGAATAACTACAGACAACTGATACCTTTACGCCGATTGGGGGGGGGGAGGATACGAATACTACTAACAATATTCCTTGGAGAGTGTTTTCTTCCTCCTAATGCATAGAAATATTAATGATATATTCCCATTTTCTTCCATCTTAATGAGACATTCTAGAAAAGACGACTACTCACT